CCTTTCTCACACACGTCACACTGATGGGGGAAGTCCTTGGTGTGAACAGAGATAATGTGTCGTTTCAGGTCACTGGAGTTGGTGCTCTTGTGCTCACAGTGTGGGCACTGATGGGTCTTGTGACCTTGCACCACCTCTATATGACGCTGGAGTTCCCGTGCATCAGCGTAGGCTTGAGGACAATGGCTGCATTTGAAAGGCAGATCTGCGCCGTGCTTGCTCTTGATGTGAGTCTTTAGGTTGGACTGATCTGCGCAGCGGAACTCGCAGTGCGGGCAGTGGTAGGGCTTCTCGCCTGTGTGGGTCCGCATGTGTTTCTTCAGCTCTGATGGGTGGCGGAATCCTTTGGCGCACTCGACACACACATGTGCAAAGTTCTTACTGTGCACAGCCAGCAGGTGACGGTTGAGCAGGCCCTGCTCAGCTGTCTCATAATCGCAGTACTTGCAGTGATGAAGTTTGGGCTCCCGGTCTTTGACGATGAGCTTGTCAGACCCCAGGGGGCTGGACTCATGGTAGCGCCGTGCGTACTCAGTGTATTCCGGAGAGCGCTCATTGTTATGGCTCAGCAGCTTGTGACTCTCCAAGTGGTTGTGGAAACTGACCTTCTTGTTGGTGGTAAAGTCGCAGTCTGTACACTGATACTTCTTCTTAAGCAGGTGGTCAGGGTGGTTCTTCATGTGGCATTTGAGAAAGCCTCGTGAGCGAAACTTCTTTCCACATATGTGGCACGGGTAGACCGTCAAAGGCATACCATCTGGTCCAATGATAACAGCTGGACGAGAGGGTTCGAAAAATAGAGAAATACGGTTAACCTTTTAATGTGAAATGCTTTTTATCAGATAATACAAATGTGTTGACACAACAAAAGTGCCAAATGACCATCTTATCATCGTGTCAAATGTTATGCAGTTCATACCAGTCTGACACTGCCGTGTGTCTCCTTTCTTCTTTTTCTTAGTTTTAGGTTTGAGAGCACGGTTGACGCCCAGCCCTTCTCGGATTTGCAAAAATTGTGTGGAATTTCCATTCTTCACCTGTTCAATGGTATTACCTGTACAGACAGTTGGGAATAAAACAGGATAGAAGACACTTTTAATTGTGAGATATATATATAATATATAGGTTATTTTTTAAAGACTGTTTGCTCTATGGAACCATCATTGAAAACATGTTATATATTCTAGCTAAGACATTTGCGGTACAAAACGCCCAGACACAGACACAAACATCTTGTTGTTACGGACTGATGGTTGACACTGACAACATGGACCAAAAGCTGTTTTACAAAAGGAACATACTGATGTCATCGTCGTCGTCATCATCACTGTCATCCTCATCATCCTCTTCTTCTTTTGGATGGTTCTTGACTGCCATGTAGACCATCTTGTCACGGCCAACTCCCAGTCTCCCTGATGATGCAGCTTCCAGGTCAGGATGGCCATTCTGGTAGTCATCCTCTGTTATTACCTCTGTTCCGCCTTGGAAAAGGAAAGAAAATTACAATTTAATCAAAGCTGTCATCTACATTCAGTTTAACAGGAAGTAATCTCTATGTAATTTCTTGTATTAACTGATTATTTTTCAAGTCACTTGCCTAAATCGTCATCTGCTTCAGCTTTGAAAATGTAGACTTTGATGACCTCAGAGCCGTCCTCCTCTTTAGATTCCTTGTCTTCCATTACCTCAGTGCTGATCTCAAGAGGAGTATCTCCTATGTCCAGCTTCTCTCCCACCTCATCCACTACAGTAACACAAATAGCCTTAGTTATCAAAAACATAAATATAAAACACAGCATTGCATAAGAACAATATTTATTAATGAAAGTTATGTTTTTATAAAGCAAGCTGTCTTACAGGAGATCATGAGGTAATCCTCAGAGCTGCTTCTTGCATCATCATCCTCATCTGTCTGCAAGGGAACAGCCTCAGTTGGCATCTGTTCCTGGATTATGGTCTCGGAGTTGGCCTCTGTAACCATCAAGCCTTCTGACACAAGCTGGTGATCCAGAGTGTTGCCCTGGTGCTCAGACAGTAACTCTGCCACAAACACCTGGTCTGGCATGTCATCATGGTGGTGGTTTGAGCCCTGGATGAGGTCTGAGGTTAGGACGTGGTGATGATGGGGGTCCAGCTCTTCCTCTATCGCAACTTCTGTGCCCAGAATATTCTCGGGCATGATCACACTGTGTTCTGAGGACACCATGTCCTCACTGGTGATTTCATGGGCTTCGACTCCTTGAGATTGCAGACTTTCCACGTCTACCTCCAGACCTTCGACAACCTCAGCTTCTAAACCCTCTACTTCCACCTCCTCCTCAAGGCCCTCGACAACGTGAGCTTCCAGGCCCTCAACATCTACCTCAGTTTCCAGGCCCTCCACCACTTGTGCCTCAAGACCCTCAACTTCCACCTCACCGTCTAGGCCCTCAACAACCTGAGCCTCCAGCTCTACCACTTGTGTCTGTAGCTCCTCAACCACCTCTGCCTCCAAGCCTTCTACATCTGCATGTAAGCTCTCGACCACTTCTGTCTCCAGGCCTTGGACCACCTGAGTCTCCAGGCCTTCCACCTCAAGCCCATGCTCCAGGAGGATGCCCTCGTCCGTCATCACATCAGAAAGAAGCATACCCTCGGGCACAGACACCACAATGTGCTCCCCATCAATGTGAGCCAGACCCCCCATGCCTGCAACTGTAAACACAACATGCAAAGAGGGGTGCATGACAATGAGTTTCAAACTTCAAAATGACAATTAAAATTACAACCCAGTCTTTTGTATAGTCTAGCTATAGCACAGATGTCATAGCACCATGTCACATGTTTGTGAAGGTGATTCATCTTCTCGTTGATATGCAGTGAAAATGTCATTAGAAGAAATTACAGATGTCATCTTTAGGCTTTACCTTTATTTCTTAATTCGCTTTGGATTACAAGTTGTATGTTGAAATGAAGTACCGTTTGCAATTTGACTACTTGACCACCTACCAAAGTCTTGCATGATCATAGCGTGGGGCATTTTCAGCTCCTGAGTGTGTAGCTCCAACACCCCTCCTCCTTGATCCATGTCTTCACTCAGAAAAAGACTGAAAATTACAGTGTAAACTGTGTCAGCGGTTTTCTTTCACTTTTGTTAGTGTGCATTACTAATAATGAAAGTGAATGCAAAAAACTGTGAATGCCACTATGGCTAATATTCATCATACATACCTTCACATTTGATGACAAAACCCTTAGAATAAAACCAATAAGATATTTGATGGGCTTTCTTCCATCAAGGTAACCAATCCCTCTGACAATGAAAAAACAAGCCATTTGTACTCATAAGAATTACACTCACAATACAACAGAACTGAAAAAGAGACAATTTGAAACAAATATGTTTAAAAACATTTATACATGAGTTCAGGTTTACAATAAGGACATTGGTGCCACCATAAATAATGGCTTCTGTATGGGTACAACACACAAGGAAGAACAGAACAACTCCAATGCTGCCACTTAAGAGGAGGGCAGTTATGTTGTTGACCACTGGCTCCATCCTTTGCCTATAAAGAGTACTACAGGCAGCTTCAACCTAAGGACATATAGCTATACACCTGAAGCTGGTTGAGCCTGATGGCTGGAGCCCATCTGAGACAAAGGGCTGTTTCTCTCAGTGTGCAGGAGGACGGGCTCGCAGGAAACGGCTCTAATAGCCACTGGAAGTTCACTCCTGCATGTTTTTGTGAACGGACGGTTCAAAATAAGCCAAATATGTCATGTCTGCAATGGTCTGTGGTGGCGTTGAGGGTCCCTGTTGTCCACGGATGTTATCATTTTGAGATCAAACTAACACCGTGCTGACACAGTTATCGTTTGTGGGGGGAAAAAAATAGTGTATTTTGGACTCTTTGCACAAAACTACACACGCTCAGAGTGTATGGCCGCCAATGAAAGTACCGCAGACGTTATGCAATGCATACTAGGGTGGCTACCGCCCTCCACCCACCGGAGCTAACCAACGTTAGCAAGCGAGCTAGGGCTGTTCCTCCGAGCGCCATTTTGTTTTAGCATAATGGCTAATTCAAGGAACGGAACAACCGATCTTATTTTACCAACAAAGAACCCCCTTCGCACAACGTTACAACAATAAGAGAGTAACTAACACAAGCAACAAACCACTGTCACTCATAATGTGTCTTGTTTTCACGTCGCGCTGATCTAGGCGACGACGGCCGTCCCTCCGGCTAGCTAGCTTGCTAAGCTAAGTGAAGCCGCTTGTGCCGCATTATCTTCCATGTTGTTTTTCGAAAAGGCTGAAAGAGGCCCGCTACGGCCGACTGGGCCCTCGCGTCTTATTCCACATGCCTTTCTAACCGATTCAAAATAATTTTACCTGATAACGTCGTCTTCAGACTCTATCGGTGTTTCTCCCCCTTCTCAGTTTTGTCTGTTATTGTTTTGGTTTATTTTTGACGGTAAGCTAAGTGCGGCCTGCAGTTTTGGATCCCCGGGCACCCTTTGCTAGGCCTCGGCCAATCAGCTTGCTTCCTGACAAGCAGAGGGAGGGCGGGGGGCAGACAATGCGTGGCCTCGTTTACCGCTGATCCCTTACTATTTGCGTCATGCATAAGAGAGCAGAGTTACATTTACACAGACATACTCTTAATGGGGACATAATTACGTTCAGCTCTGAGACACAAACATTCACACGTTATCACACCGAGAATTTTTTTATTTTTTTTTTTATTATTGTGGTCGCAGACTGTGCTCCCACACTTTGAATGCGCAGATGAGGCCTGTAGGCCATTTTGTCACAAGGGGTGGGTGAGCGTCGAGCATTGTATTGTGAAGCGTTTGGTCATGAACCCAGGAAATATCCGGGAGAGGATGACGGAACCTGCTTGCACTGCGGATGAACTGCATAGTGTGACTAATTAACCTGTGATGCAAGCAGACCTGGACTTTTTTTTTGCATGCATATATATATATAAATAAAAAACAAACAAATATAACAATTATAGTTTCAGGGTAAGACTTTATTATCCAGTTTCATTACAGCTCTTAAATTGCAGAGGCACTCTGCATGAGGGTGCATAGCTGTCTAAGGCACGCGGCCTTCGTGCATAAACATTTTCTTTATTACAGTGGTATCCAAAAGCAGACACTCAAAACCACCTCTAGATATGCTGTAAAAATGCTTGAAAAACACAGTACCGTAAGATTACCTTTAATGAATCACTTCTGGTATTAGAAAGAGTGTTGCAGCTGAAATGCACCTTGGCACAAACCATATTTTTTCCTTTTTTTGTATTATTTATAAGGGCAGTGTGGTTTACAGGAGTTGCATTGCTGTGTATTCGAAGAGCAAAACACAAATACAACACAAATCTAATGATAATTTCACAATGAACCAACCAAACATTCATAAATTCACACAGATCATTGTGGAACACGTGGGAGATTTGTCATATTGCAGTTACATAATGATGAAAAGGCTGTAGGAATAAGGAGGAAAAAAACAAACAAAAAACCGAGCATGCAACACTCAGCACCTTCATCTATTAGGAATTCACACAGAAAATGAACAAACCAGCAATATCTTCATTTAAATTGTCGTCATATCAATTACATCAAGAGAACAGTAATACAACCCTTAATATTCCAGCAGTTTCTCACAATCACCATAGAAAAATAAGTAAAATTGACACAAACAAATCTTCTGGAAGCTCTGAGTTGGTCCATATCACAAGTGGAGTGTGCATGTGTGCCTTCTTGTCTGCCTACACATCCTCTCTGTGTGGGTTGACAATGTTTCATGCAAGGGCAAGAGATGAGTCTTAAACTACGAATCCAGTGTAGCCCAGCACTCCAGTTTGAAATGGGGGGGACTGAAAGGTTGTATGACGTGTCTATGGACACAGTGGCTGTGTTCTTTGTACTACGAGAGGTAACCGGGAGAGATCAGGTGAGGGGTTGCAGCAGTGAACATCCTTCATCACCAGCCAACCTCAGTAACAGCCATCTTTCCAGGATTCATCTGAGATTTTACTCATGCCCAAAGACCTGTAAGTAAAATAATAATATTTTTACGTATAATTATCAAAAAAGACACATTCCTCAATATCTTAATTTACCATTGAAGCACTCACCTCCTGGGGGGCTGTGAGAGTTTACTCCTGGTGGATGCTGATGACACAGCCTGTCCTCGGCCCATGGCAGGCCTCCCCACCCCAGTGGAAGCTCTCCCGGGTATGTAGGCTCCGCCATTGACAGAGCCTGGGGACTGCACCCTGCGACCCCCTGCTGCAGGCGATGCTTGTACAACAGGCAGACCTCTGGATGGCTGACGACAAGGTGGCATGGAGCCCACCGGAGCGACAGCTTTAACTGGAGCCCGCAGGGAGAGAGGCGACTGGCCGTTGCTACGCAGCCGACTACAAGCCATACCTTGAGTGAAGAAAGTAGAGTATAAAAGAATCACAACCAGCTACTTCTTTCAGACAAGTTAGGAAAGCAAATATTAATTAATACATAGAAAAATGCAGTAGCTGAAATCCAAACCCCACTTGTGGCATGTAGAAGTTGTAGGCAAGCCGGGGAGGAGCAGTACTGGATTATCAAGGACAAGTTTGGAGTAAAGTAGTGGAATAATCATGTAGCAGGTCGGGTAAAAAGAGAGTTACCTGTACAGTACCTGGGGTATGTTAGGGAAGATGAGTGGTCAGGGAAGGAGCAGCAGAAGTAGCTGTGACTCATATATAATGAGTGAGTTACAGTTGGACTTGTGTGTTGAGGGTTAGACTGTCAAGGTTAGATCGATACATCTGTTTTAATATGTATCAGACTGATATTAGATTTTTATGGAGGGGGGGTATAATATCAGTGTCTAAATATCGTTCAAAGAATATAAGTTTCATTTTTCAACATTTATTAATGTTAATGATTTTTTACAATTGAAACATTTTTGATTTGAACATTTCCTTTGTTTGTTAGTGAATAAGTAACACGACGTCTCATCACATTGGTGTATATTACTGTTTCTTGTTGACAGCAGCCTTCAGGGCTCCAGACTTTTACATTTATTCAAACAATATTTAATTAAAAAGAAATTACTAGGGATGTCCCAATCAAGCAATCAAGGTTTTTTCAGACCCTGATCCAAACTCAGTCATTTAATTTTGATTATCTGCCGATGCCGAGTCCCACTCCGATACTTGTTTTTGTTTTATAGATAATATAGTGTATACAGTGAACTGTCTGTATTCTATTGAGCGGTTATTTACGTTGTCTGTACATCTTTTGCACCAGTTCATTAATTAATTACTCTTACTGGCTTGTCTCTCCTCCGAGCATGGGATAACGCCTGGTGAGATCGGATCCGGACATCACCAGAAATTTGTATTTTTAATGTACTCCTGTTCCATTGGAAACATCTGCAAATAATGCCTATTGGTATTCAGTTAAACATGTAAGGCTGCCTGTGGTGTTTTCTTATAAACAAACAACATTTCTGTTTACATTCATAACCCACTGCATGTATACTTAAGGTCTAACAAACGTGTTAAATATATTTCCTTCCTCATAAAACATTTACAAGGCCAATTTTTAGATAAGTTTGAAACCTGAATTTTATCCATATTTGTTTGCTAGCAGTCGCTTTATTCCCCCAACCACTGCCAAGAATGTGCATTATGACAAGGCTGCACAATTATGGTCAAAATGATAATCCCGATTATTTTGATCAGTATTGAGGTTGAGAGGTCCCAGAATACAGCAAAACTTCAGTTCATTTTGATAAAGTAGTCAAGTCAAATTGGTCTTTTTCCATCAGTCTGTGATGTGAAGAACCGTGATCTGATTTTAAGCTGCACACGGTATGGGTCTGAACAGTGACTGCAACTGACATGGCTGAGAAGTGGGAGGTGTGCAGCGTGTTGCCTGCAGCTTTCTCTTACAGCTCACTGTGGCTGCTCCTTCTTGTTCCATTACTCCCTGACATATTTCAAATGGATCTGCTGTCCAAATAATCCAAAAATGACCATTGTCTTGTTTTGTAGATACATTTTTTTTTAACAATAGCAGCCATTGTCAAGCGAACTGACAAACACTTTGCACTTCCGGTGACCAGCTTACTTCAAAATAAAAGTCAACTCGTGTTTCGCCAGTTAAATGCTTTTAAAAAGAGAAGCTGCAGCCGTAGTAAACGTTTGGTTTTTGTTAGCAGTAACTTAATACAGTATTTTTCTGGATCACCCGTGGTGGCTGGCTGTTAGTTTATGAAGTGTTCAAAGAGTTTTCTATGATCTGAGTACGCATTTAAAACATATATATCGTAGTCGATCACATTAATTGAATTGTAGGAAGACAAAATCGTTATGGGGATTAGTTTTTGATTAATTGTGCAGCTCTAGTGTCACCAATGTGCGTGTATGTGTGTGCTCATGCTTGTGCAAGATAAAAGCAAATTGAGGACCTACTCATGCTCCATAGTGCTAGAAGTGGTCAAATATTCCACAGGGTACCTTTAAGAAGAATCTTCCAGAGTATCGATCAAACCTTACCTGTGGTCATGCAGAGGTTAAGATGAGGTGAAGTGATAGGATAAAAGTGACACTACAAATGGCTATAAGCAAATGCAGGTGCCACTGTATTACAGGAGTGGTGTGGACCAGGTGAAGAGGGTAGGGTTACCTGTGGAGGGGGAGTGAGGCAGATGGGACATGCGGTTGCCAGAGCTCTGGAGGTTAGCCTCCATGCTGCGGCTGTTTCTGACTGCCTCCAGGGAACGTAGGCTGGTGCGGGGGGCCAGATTAGGCATGCTGTGTCTCAACTCCTCTGGAACCACACATATAGAACACATTTAGCAACATTATGATGTGTATTATTATAGTTTTGGTACAACAAGAATCTCTGTGAAGGTCACGCTGATCTTCTAAGTGCTGAATTACCATGTTTCTGGTTATAGCCTACCCTCACTCTTAGCAAATTTAAGCAGCTCTGCACTGGGGCCCTGGAGAGATCGTCTGGGTGCTCTTGTGCGTGGGGCCCCGAGTCGGCTGCTGTATTCCTGACCGTGGTTGGAGGTGGATGGAGACAGGCACCGGGGTGAGCCTAAGGGCGAAGGGGTAAAGCGATGTCGTCGCTGTGGCATGGAGCAAAACTCATCCTCTTCGTCCTCCAGGCTGTAACTATCAAATTCCTGATCACTGTAGGTGCCCCCCGGCGCAGGGACTGCAGAGAGGCTGTGGAGCTGCGGCGTGATGCAGATGCTGAACTAGAAGCATAATCCTGCCTCAAACCTGACACCAAAAATATAAAGTTATTAAGCCATGCAAATGCACTAGCATACACACAGATGCATGCACATAGAAAAACACAGAAAACTACTCAACTCAGCTTTAAGATAGAGTCAAAATATCTATCTCACCTACTGAGGTGTAGGAAAATATCTTCTCTAAGGCTAACTGTGCCAGTTAAGTGCCTTTCTCCATGAGCTGTCACAAACAGTAGTAGACTTTGGGAACACAATCACATGTGATGTCCAGCACACCATGTGCACAACACCTCTACTTACTCTCTTCCTGTAGGCGAGCCATGATCTGGACATCAGTGAGATCCTGCAGCTTATAGCCCATAGAGATGGAGTCATCTGATGTGCTGAGCTCACTGTCTATGGAGGACTGTGAGCTCAGGGCTGACTGCATGTTTGGGACACCTGTAAAGACAGAGGGACACCTATTAAAACAAAGGTGCATCTCATACATAAATGGTACTAGTAACCAGGTTCTACAAGTTATTTCCTCTGTTGGAGAGAATTACCTTAAATTCTCAAATAAATGCCAATTCTTAACAAAAAGCCACATGTGTCTGTTTGAACAAATAAAAAAATAAATGGGCGGGAATTACCAGGACCTGTAATATAATGCCTACAGAGCAGGGCTCTCCTAAAAAGAGGGAACAGAAATGGTTTCGGCCGCACCTTTACCTCCATTTTTCAAAACACTTATTGGACTATAGTATGCACTTCAGTTTTTTATTTATTTTCCTCCATTGTGCAACAGGGGTTACCAGGTTTAAACCTGACACTGCCATCCATAGGACCAGCACATCACGACAAGATGATAACTAGCTTTCAAACAAAGATTGCCTAACCCCTCCAAAAAGAAAAAAAAAGACAAAATTGAAATTGGACACGAGGCCCAGGTGAAGCACTGCTTTGATTAATGAGCTCCTTTGACAACATAAAATGAGCATGACAAATATGAGACCATTACCTATGTGGTAACTGAATTGATCTAAAAAGATTAGATGCCAACAGCATCTGTCAGACTCTGCTCAGTAGATGACAGGGACTGATTGATCAGGCTCATACAACTGTGTTATCGCTTCAAGGTAATTAAGCAGAGGAGCACATCACAGTGTTGATGGAAAAAGTTGGTAAAGCTTATTTAAGTTGGGAAACATCGAAATAAAGCAGCTCAATCAGTCTGGAGGAGGTGTGTGAAATATAAGTCACACCCGTAGCACTGCCTGTATCAGGACAATTTTGATTTAAATTTAATATTCACCCAGTGGATATGCATTTCACGTAATTTATCAGACTGACTTGGTCAATGGTTAACAATTCAAAGTTTGAATGCAGTCTTTGTTTGACAATCACATCTGGTACATTTTAATTAACACGGCTCTCCTCCCAGACTTCACTTCAGCCTTGCCTAACAGCATTAGTCTAAAAACGACTGTTTGCTGATGATGCCCAGGAAAGCAGTATGCAATGTTTCCCCCGCCAGACGTGTCTGTCTGACACAGGCCTTACTCTCAGACTGAGACAAACGAGAAACGACAACATCATCCAGGGGCATTTGGTTATGTAAAAAGTCTGGGATTAGATAGGGTCACCACTCCCACAAGCCAAGCATTTACAAGTTCATGCAAAGATGTTATTTACAGGCTTTTCACAACATTAGCACTGTTTGTCTCTGCACAGTGAAGGGCCAGGTATTGCGAGTGCAAGGTAACTGTAACAGTCACCACAAAGTCCAAATCACACATCATTGAACATTTCATACAGGTTAGCATTGCCTAACAACTTTTAATATACCTTGTTCCCATCCCCCTTAAGTATAAACTACATATAGTTTACAAAATCCTGATCATCTTCACCAAGTATACTAGTGTTTTTTTTTATCTGCCTGGCACACACAGTTCTCCACTCATTTCAATTGTTATATTGATTTATTTGTTTCATCACTTTTATTATGTATTTATTTTAGAATTGTGATGTAAGTGAAGGTTTGGAGGAATGGGAAGGATATGTGTTTGTGATGCTGGCAAAAACAGCAACCTTTGTGATGCAAGAAGCTGCCAAATACATATTTGCCCTTTCATGACATCTGTCTTCACTTATTTTTCTTTATTGACAAGATAGTACTGAATTCAACAGACAACAATTTAGTCTATCATATCAGACCTTTCCACAAAAGTGAAACCTATGTTCATTGTGATGGAATGCACTTCTCAGGCAAGTTTAAATTCTTTGTTAATTTTAATACTGTAATAAAATGAATGGTAAACAATGTCTGCCTGGTAGAAGTAGAAAATCAATCTAGAAAACCTGTGATATGTCTTCAAAAAAGGTTAATAGTAATGTGCAGTATATGCAACATACAGTAAACTGGGTAAGAAATGCAACAATGCCAGAATAGTCAATAGAAATTACCATTCAGATCCCCAAGAGGGAACATTGTTGATGCATTAGTGCACACGCATATCAACTGACCTACATCCTTACAATAAATGACGTCAATCCCACTGTTGTGTTGGGCAGAAACTGAGGAGCACAGTGTGTTAATGTCATGCCATACCTGAAGTGCCACAGGTTAGTAGGGATTTGTTAGTTGATTTGTGGTACCCAGGAGAGATCAGGCCTGAGCCTGCCGAGCCTGCCTCTGCTGATGGGCTACTGTACATGTTCCTCCATCGAGATGCTGCAGGGAACAGGAGAGGAGAGATATTCACAGAGAAGAAAATACACACTCAAAAAGAGATGACATAAAGAGAGAGACATTCAGAATATGGTTGCCAAGTATGGTCGGCATCAGTGTAAATGATATAAAGGGCTCCATTTTAATCGTGCAATGGCAAGTGCAGAGCAGTTGGTCTTGGGCTGTGTGGGCGTCTCTGCCACCCCAAGTCAACTGCCAGCAGCGCAAACGGCTGAGTGAAGGGGACTATAGATTAGAGGGTGTGGTGATTAATAAATAACTGGTCTCATCACTCAGAAACAGCTGAGCCAGTCAAGGTGACACATGACGATACAACAGCCCAACAAATAAAGACTGGTCATCTACAGGAAGTCATGTTATCTGGATGACGCAGAGTGCTATGATGTGAACACACAGCACTGCATAACCAGAGGCAAATGGTGTGGGGTTTTCTTTTAAAAGTTAGATAAAAACAAGTAATAAAATAAGTTTTAACAGTTTATATGATTCCATCAATTTATATACATAAAACACACTTGCTACTGGATGTTGCACAAGAGGACCAGCAACTAAAACCAAAACAATTGGACTGAAACTCCCCAAAAACGTCTTTCCAATAATCACAAACACCACTGATTTGGTTGAAATAAACCCTTAATTCACCAAATTAGGTGTGAAAATATTCCAACAAGTAAGCGAACGTTAATCCTTGTGGACAAATCTGCCCCTAAAAGTAAATTAAAACTGAAAGTGCTTGTTTTGGCCACCGACAGGCTCAGATTGTTATTCTAACAACCTTAAGTAAAGGATCCCTACATAGGCAGACCCTTTGTTTAACCAGAAACAGCCGTAATATTGCTATCGCTCGCCATATTCCAGAGACAAAAAAGAGTCATTTTACCTTGCATATAACTGTAACATCTAACCTAACTTCATTCAAAGTGAACAGAAACAAAATTAAACTTATTCCAATGTTCCAACAATCACAAATTCTGCTTTGGTGTAAATAAACTCTCAATTTAGAGACGTAGATAAGAAAAACAGTGGTTTCGGTCCCTCTATTGAGCTGCACACAGAACAGACGGGTTATGTAAACAGAGCACAGAGAGGCTGCGATGACAACAAAGGTGAGAGAGTGTGAAAAGAGAGCAAGAGTTTGACGTCATTCTCTGCCCAAGACGCCATTGATCAACTATATCCTCATATAGAAAATAGTTATTTGCTGCTAAATAAGTGTTCATATAACCTTGAAGTCATAATCGTACTGTATTTCACATTGCAATGCTTACATCATATCTTCAAATGTGACACAGCAGCATTTGCTTCCTAATGCAAACGGGCCACTGAATTACTTTTAAAAAGTTGTAAAGGAGACTTAGGTTTTACACAATATGTGGACAGTTGGATGTTCTGTGTAATAGCGGGTGTAACTTTACACAAGAGCTTTGAGAGAAAAACTGTCGCAACATTTGCATTCATACTGTAGTAAACCGAAAATGGGGTTCATTTAGACGCCATGTTTTAACTGCTATCCCTATAGTTTCTGCAGTTTCGCTCCAACATAATCTATGCCACAAGGCAGTTTCACGGCCTGGTGCTGCCGTTTAAAAAGGAGAGCTGACGCGGGCGGGGAGGGGGGGAAAGGTAATCCAACCCAGCCCATGACTTCGTGTAGTCATTCAGCCCTGGTGTGAATAGCTTTGTTGTTCAGGTTCTGCAGTGTGCGGGAAGTAGGAGCCGCAAGCAAGATAAATAATACATGGGGTCTGTTGGATCAGACACAAACTTCTGTTCACACGTAGAAACATACAGAGCATGGACACATCACTCAGGCTTTGTCACACGACTTTAAACACACACAGATCTGTGCACACGCACAGTGGAGGTGAGCAGTAAATAAGACACATTCACAGAAGGAGGTGAGACCGTCTCCCTCGGCTGAACTGGGTGCTTGATTTAGGCCAACCACCTCTAAGGCAGAGACATGTGACTCAAAGACCTTAAGATACAAACATTTTCTCTCATTTATAATGAAAGCAAGTTGCTGCTCAACATGTGTGATGGACTCTAAGATTGTTAATCTTAGGGCTTACATAGGGAATGAAAACACGCACAGATTAAAGCATACTTTGGTTCAGGCATTCAAGGAATTTCATTCAAAGATGTATGTTTGATGCTTACTCTGGTCTAAACGGCTGATCAGGGTCCGACAAGCAATTTCTGTCTCTGGGCTGCGGTGGTCAAGAGCCTGCCGACACCACTTCAATGGAGACTCTGGGCCTGGCTCTGCTACTTGCTTTTTTGGAGACACATACAACCTGTGGAGAAAACAAATGATTACATGGGGAACTGAGAGCAATCACAAGGAGTAAAGGGGATTTGTAGAGTAACACAGAGATGGAAAAACTGAGGTAGGGAAAAGGCAGTTCAGGGCTGAAAAACTAAGCCTAATCTACGTTGTATTAAACATGCTTGTCAGAAGTGCCAGTAACTGCAGAGCAGAAGATTTGGATAAAAAATAGCTGCAGATTAGTGTGCACTACTGGCCTGTGAGGTATGCACTTAATAATATTAAGCATGCCGTGTACAACAAGAATGTTTTTCACACTGTACAACACGAGCATGGCTGAGCACAGACAGAAGTAACACCCAACCACCGAATGGTTCTCCAGCAAAGGGACACTGAGGAGGCAAAGATCTCACATCAAACAGACAACCAGGCTGTTTTGTTTAAAATAAATGATGTAATCAAACCAAACAGTGACTGAGCAAATAAAGTATTGCATCTTTAAACATCCGTATCACAGCCTCAACCTGGTTCTCTGACTCTGTTCTCCCCTCTGAGATGAATACACATTTGGCTCAGCCACATTTGCCTAGCATATGAAGCACATCCCAGCCTGTGTAATGACACTCAACTCCACTTCTGACCAAGTCTAAACAGCCAAAACGGAGAGAAATTTAGTGTTATATTTGGAATCAGCTGTACATTAATGTCCACTGCCACAAAACTCGAAGGAAACTGCAAATTCAAATCTAAGAACCAGCCATGGTGGTTTTTTATGGAGCCGTGCAATGTCTGAAATCAACACTTGACTTGGTGTTTCCGATGCCTCCTCTGAGATGTGTCCGGTGTTGCCCCAGTGAGAGCAAACAGCCATTAGTTCAACCACAAGCTTTGAACTGGCAGTCACATGGGCTGATCCTTTGAGTCTGATACACAAAAGGCCCGGACGGACTGGTTCTGGACCAATCAACAACAAATCATCTTCCCATTGGGCAAACACAAAAGGACCCATTTCCCACTGGAATGAGCAACAATGCAGAGAGCAATATTCAGGTCACATATCCTGCCACAGAGGACAGCTTTTCTGTGTGTGGGGGAGCAGAGCTGCTTTTCTTAAACACAAAACCTTGTGTTTGATGTGGACTAATGCTGCACATTTGATCCATTCACACTCGAGTTTTGGTCACAGGTTAACGCCTGGGTGTTGCCATTCATGCAAGCCACAGGTCTACTACTGTAGTTCTATTAACATGACTGCTAAACTAAAAAATATAGACCAGACCTTTGTTAACAGTAGTCTCTACAATGTTTGCTCTGAAGAGTCAACAATGAAGATGGGCAATAATAATAATGTTCAAGTATATCTGAGATGAGGAGAGCTAATCCTATAGTTACTGTAAAAAAAAAAAAGTATTCTTCCTTGCATTATAAAACCGAACTGTGTCGTACACAGAAGCAGGTTGGACAACTTTTAACGCGATGAAATCAACTGAAAATTTTGGTTTATTCTGCTCAACTGCTCAATTAGGAGGTTTGGAGTTTAGGCCTGTGTGACGGAATATATTAACAGGCAGGAAACATTATTTTGCTAAGCTTAACAGGAGAGCTAAAAGTCTGGGAACTAAACTTCAGAGAGAGTGGATACTACGCTTTTTAAATAACACGACCCGTGTGCTGCTGGAAAACTATATTTTCTCTTTTAGAGATTTTATTCTAAGATTTCAAACCCCACAAAAAGAGATCCTGCAGAATCTCTCAGTTCCAGTGTGTCCTTGTTGCAGTCTGGTCACACAGGGGGGCCCCCCTTTGGGTCACATGCTGTGCAATCCCACCCAAAGCAGTTTAGCCATGTGGCAGCACCCAGTCCAGAACAGATCAGATTATGTCGCTGTTAGGATTACTGGATGTTTTGGCTATGATAACCTCACAAAGCACATATGGTATGGCTAATGATGCGAAACTGAAAATAAGTCATGAATGGTCTGGCTGTTAAGCTCCATGGCTCAGCTGCTAAAGTAGCCATCAGGAACACAATATGGTACCTGCTTCAGGCAATGCACTGCACAGCGTAAACACATCCAACTGGGATAAAAATGAACATGGATTATGAGTAATTAGCCCTCTATTACCGCTCTTTTTGCGTACATATATTCCATCACTTAAATTGGAGGAAATTAACAAACTTAATTAATCTCAAACTGGTGTTTATAAGCCTCACCCTGACTTGCATTCAGGAATGAACGAATGCAGATATAGCTTTGTTGATCTTTAGGACATTGTGTAAGAGGGCTTAGGGAAAGCAGATCTATGCCGAGTCCAGTCAACAATAACAACAATCATTATTAGAATCATTTTCTCAAACAGTTTGATAGTTAACACACTCTTGGTGCGTTTTTGTTCAGATGGGTATGAATAATAAAAAAAGCTTTGTGCTCATTATAACCTGCCAAACAGGTATCAGATAGGTTCAGGCCTATTGTTTATCAAGACCAGAGAGTCAAGTTTAAGAGACAACAAACAGCCTCCTCCTTTTGTTTTTATACGTCAGCTGCTTCTGAAATGATTCTCTCTGACTGGCTGCCCTTTCTTTTTCTTCCTCCTCATCACTGCAGTGGCTTTCTTCTCTCCCTTTTTTTCCCACCAACACCTTATTATTTCCTCCTATTTACAGTACATATTGAGAGTTAGTGATCAAAGCTTTGAAAGTACAATGTGGATGAGCAAAAGGGGAAGTAACACACTTTCAAATCAGAGGTTAAAATGAAAGAGCCCAAGTGAATCAGGCTGAAGGGGCTCCTCTAACTATACAAAGGTGAACTTAAATGTGGCATCCCTGCAGCCTATATCACCAGAAATCAACTTCCACTGAAGGTGACTCGTATACGCTGCTACATATTATGGATAGTACTTGTGATCTTTCTCATATTTGCAAATGTTTATCCAGAACTTATAAAAAATATATAAGTTGGATAACCCAAACACGTGGGGAATTGCGAGGCCATCAGAGCACGGGGACTAGAGACAAGCATCGCCGATAACAAAACATACCAACTGTCCTCGTCCTCTACTTCTGCACACTCATCCTCCAAATCTAGGACATCCACTTCATCCAGTGCAGTTTGGTCCACCCCTGAGTCGCTCTCTGCGAGTGTCTCTGAGTCATAACTGTCCTGAGAGGGGCTCTCTGGCGTCTGGCTTTGCCCCCCGGACTGCCGCCCTCCGTTGCTGTAGGCCAGTGTTAGAAAGCCCCCACACGGACCCTGCTCGTCGTCGTCCTCCTCTTCCTCCAGCCTGTTCGCCATGGGGAGAGGGGACATCTCTTCGCCACTACTGCTGTCCTGAGGGGGTGACAACTCAAAGTCTGTGCTGCCCAGCTTGCCACCGTGCTCCAATCTGAGATGGGAGTTGCTCACCCCTTCACAAGTCAGCCTCTCATTGATATTGACAGCGGCCGTGAGGTTGCTGTTGCTGCTGCTGCTGGCTCCTCTGTGGATGATAGTCTTCTTGCTCCCCCTGTTGCGCAGGGTCTCGTTCTGGACCTCCAACCTATGAACAAGCTCCTGCAGCTTTCGGACCTCCTCCAGCTCCACCCCTGCCAGGTCCTGACCCCCCACCCCTTCCTCCTCCTCACACCCGGGCTCGGAGCTCTCCATGAGGCCGATGCCAGGCTGGGGGACCACGCTGGCACTGTCCGGGACCACCATGCTCCTACTCTATTGAGAGTCAAATGAAAAAAAAAAAAAAAAAAGATTATTTACATGATGACAATATAAAAACATGCCTATTTATATATTAACCGGATGAGCTCAAGCTTTCTAGGACCACATGCAAGCTCAAGTTATGATGATCACACCAGTGAATGGGCACTATCTTGCCAACAGCAACTTACAGCCAAATACACTGTTAGTATAAAATAATGCACAACTAACGTTACTTTAAACACATGCTAAGCTTTTGGTCCTAGTAGCAATACTATGAAGGCGCCACTTGTGCTTTAACTAGCCGATTTCTCCTAACAAGTACCACTATTTACATGTCGCTTTTATTACTTTTTTCCCCCCCTCGTCGTAGCGTTGCTAACTCCGCAACAACAAATAACGCCACCGATGCATAAAGCTAGCGAGAGGACGTTGTAAACCCTCAAATCTACCCGTAAACTGTGAACCCCACAGCGGCTATATTGTACTAACATCCGTCCACTGTACATTATAAGCACTCTGGTTTATTGTTAGCAAGGTTTAGCATTGCTATCAGCAAAACAATCGTACCGGTGAGAGAGCCGTGTTGTTCCCCAGTTGTCCCAGCGGGCTGACGACTGAGCTCCCCCGCCACTCAAGAGCTATAAACCCCGTCTGTGAGCACCAGCGACCGCATGAATGAAGCAGCTAACCACAGTCACCTGAAACGGTCCTCAGCTCGGTAATGATTGTCAAGGCACCGGGAAAAAACCTTTCAGGTAGCTAGTTCATGTTCTCTTGTTGCTGCAGCATCCCCGGCAGCGTCCACCGTATCGCTCGCTGCTAACTAGCTTGTTGATGGACCTTATTGCTTTAGTTAGCCCAGTGAACCGAGCAACAGACCTGCAGCGGCAGCAGCGCTCGCCCCTCCCCCTACGAGTTTTCCCGGTTGTTTGGCGCCCCTTATGGGGGAAAAGTGGTACTGCAATAATATTTTATATATATTTATATTGTAACCACTGGGCGTCGCTGTTTACATGGTCGCTGTTTACATGATGGTGCAACACAGCACTGTATTTAAAAGTTAGGAACCCAATAAATGTTTTATTTATGCAGTGACTAATGGACGGTGAGTCATTTTTCACTAGATATATAAAAAAAATAGTAATAGTTTCTTGGGAAATGGCATTGTTGTTTTTAAAATGTAATTTCTCCATGGGTTCCACAATTTATATTTTATTCACGCCATTGTGGGGTAAAGACCTGAAGAACTATCATCAGTAAGTATCCCAACACCTTGACAAATAAAATAATAATAATAAAAGATCCTATATACTACTTTAGTTAAGCAGTAGTAGCTGCAAAGAAACATTCATAGCTGCAGTCATAGAGGCCTACTTGCTTTATGTCACCACATCTGATATATAATAATCAGTTAAGGACATATGCGTCAATAACAGCCTCATTTAAATTAAAAAAAGGATGGCAAAAACAGCATATTGTCAATATTTTAGAGACAAACCAAGTTTTCCGGGGAGCTCATGTCTTATTAAGGAGAGCCAAGTTAAGCCCTGGCTCACCTGTAGTTGGCACCCTCAGTTAACAGATAACGTGTTTTTATGTTTTACATTATGACCCCCACAAAGAAAAAGAAATGTGAAGGGAATGACTAAATGTAAAAGAGATGACCCTCATTGTTTTTCTGTTAATATACACTCAAAGGTCAATCATTATAGTGGATAGGACATAAAAGGGGTCCAGAAATCCTAACTCCTGAGTGGTCATGTAGGCTTACTTACATACACACAACTTCACTTTGTGCAATTAAAAATGCAGGATAGTGAGACTACTAATGAAAATAAAACACCAAGTTGAATGCAGCAAACACTACAGTACAGTGGGTCTATTTTGTTTTCTGGACAAGGTGAACTTAAGAAAGTTCTCATGCTACTAGAAGTACCTGTATAACTTGTTTTGCGACGGACAATGATCATGTGCACTTGTCTCAATGTTGACACAGGGATAATTCATGGATTGAATACAGCGGGCAATAAAAACACGGGTGTAATCAGCAGTATGCCCCGGATACTGCAATTGTCCAGTATAAATCATATGTACACGTTTTTCAGTATACTGACTGTGATTTTCAAAGACAGTGAATAAGATCATAAGTCTGACTTCCTCCTATCATTTAGTTGTGTCCTCATATGTTCTCTGCTCGTTTGTCTCTAGTCTGTTGTCATAGTGCAAAGACAAGCCTGATCCTGAAAGTACATTCGAAACGAAGACAACATGCATCACTTTTTGCAGATTCATAAAAGCTATCATTCCCTTGAAAAGTGATAAATTTTTCATGATCTCTGGCAGAAGTCCTTACAACAGAAGGGAAATTATAAATCTGTATAACTCTGCAACCAAATTGGACAGTATAAAGTATGTCTACACTCTCAAGTACTTTAATGCTGCTGTATGAGCATGTTTTAACAGGCTTATCAGGAAAACCCAGCCTACCCTATCTTGAGCAATCCACCTGCATTCTGATGATCCATGTGATGCATTTCTCCTTCCGCTGTATGGTTTTCCCAAGCACACACACAAGATTAATGTGGACATTTGATAAATCTTATGCACCTGTAAACATGTAAATGTTACACCCCTGCATATGGAAACTAAACTAAAACTCACTTTTATGACATGAACCATATTTTATGTTGGCAATTAAAAATGCAGGTGATCAACTGCCTTTTCTTCTGCAGGCTAAAACCTGTTCTAACTTAAGGGAGGAAGTTCTCACTAGGTGAGGAGTCTGTCAACAATTAAAAACTGAAGTCAGTTATATGCAGCTCATGGGCAGCCAAAGCAAACAATATGCATGCTCACAAACAGTAATAACAGTTTTATTATTGAAAAATAAAGTTTGGACATCACTACAGGCTTTGATTTAGGACCTTTTTCCACTCAGCCTAACATTATTAAGTAACAGGAAAGTGAGTGTCCATTACTATGAATATTGTGAATTATATGAAGCATGTAAAAGGTGTTTACAAACTGGCTCTGGTTTTACCTGTTTGGTTTCTTTATTGTGCACACTGGAGCACTCAAGCAGCACAATTTGGATCTTGCAAATGAGACATATCTTTTTAACTTGGCTTTTAATTTGGGTTGCCTTTGCTGGTATCGTTTTTACATTTTATTGTTATTATTATATGTATGTATATGTATATATGAATCAATAATATGATATGAATGCTACTTTACAAATATCTTTACTCGTGTTTTTCAGCTGCATGTTGGCGTGCAGTTTCATATTTTGGGCATAGGAATGAAAATAACTGAGCTTGAAAGTGTACCTCAGCTTTAAATGTAACTCAGTTTTGCCTGCCACTCATTGTTGGCAATTGACTTAGACCATGTCCAGCTAACATTAGAAGCATTTTTGTCCCAACAAAATCCATTCAAATATGCTTTAAATACACAAGATGACAGTTTGATAAAATATACACAAATGCAACGCAAGCAAATCATCATTAACACTTTTTTATTAAAGCAAAAATATCATCTTATGTGTTACTTTTTAGACATTTCCTGGATGGCACCATTTACAGACATACTTATGGTATTGGTAACAATGCAATATATTGGATGGGTTTCCATTAATACAGTTATTTATGATAATTTGAACCTGTTAACTTGTTATCTTGCTCCATTCAGCCCTTTCTAAACCGCATGGAAAGCACAATAACATATATCCATTGCATTAATTTATGTGGGATTACATACAGATCTTTCCCCAAACACCATTTCTTATGAAACATGGCGGCACAGAAAACAGAGGCACAGGTGGTGATGATGGACAGGATTCCTAATTGGAGGAAAAGCATGTAACAGGGCAGGACTGAAGGAGAGGAATCATGACAGGTGCATTTCAGTTTTTTCCCTCTTTAATGGCTTTCTTCTCTTCTTCAATTTCTGTGGGATTACAAGAGAGGCAGACAGCGACAGAGATTAAGTGATCTGGAAGTCAAGACTAGTCCTAAATTGTTGTCAGGACAAGAAAACAAACTCATGTACCTCTGTGTTTAAACAACATCATCCTATATTAATGGATTTTAAGAAGACATTATACAATTGTTTTCTCAGGATGTGTAGTACTCCGCATGCCTTAACCTCATCTATGAAGGGCTTTAATGTAATGTCTATCTAGGATTTCTGCAGCAATGTACAACATAACATTAGATGTAGAATATCAGGACGTGGCACAGGAGTGAAAAATAACATTGAAAAGAATAAAGATAGGATTTTATGATTTCAGTAGAATTATTACAATTTAGTATAAATGAGCCTGTGTGACTTTCGCTAAAACATATCAGCTCAAGTAGAGGTGAGTCTTAAAGGCAGTGAACCGTGCGCTCAGTTTCACAACAACATCTGTCTAACCATAAGATACTGTCATACCACACCAAGTAAGGGTGTAGCTGCAAAGTGTAATGAATTTATCAAGTGTGTCATTGCTAATGAATTTAACTCATTTAACTCATTTATAGGAGGAAAAAAGTGTTAGTTCTTTCAAAAGCTGCATAGTTTAACTTCATTGCGTGGAATTCAGGTACAAACTGGACACTAAAACAGCCACATTTAGCTCAAGCAACATGTTTCCTTCCACTGCAACAAGCAGGGAAATGCAGAGAAAATTCACAGTTAGTTGATATCCAGCTTCAGTGCCACCCGCTTCAGTGCTAATGCTGAGGGTGCCTCATCACTGAGATACCAGTCAGGGCACATTTTCCCTTAAATTCTCCCCTTTCCTGCTGCTGCATGTCACACCATGAAACATGAAGCTCAATTTGCCCTCATGTCTCATCTGCACTTATTATTCAGGAGACCGAAATCTAATGATAAAAAGATGGGTGGGGCTGTGTGTTTCCTGAACAGGTTGGCATTAAGCAGAAGGTATTTGGGTGGGTGTGTGTGAAGTTAATCAGTCATGCGGTGTTTGCAGTTGCCTTTCATGATGTTAGGCAAGGAGGAGTTGAACTACAGAGAAAATCTGGATAAAGGGTGTTTGAGTTTTATTTGTTGACAGCATTATTTTCCTTTACTTTTCTTACCATCCTTGGTTGGCATATGATTCTTTTCTTCCGTTGCAGTCTTCCTTAGTTTGCTCTTGTTAAACGTCTCCACCTCCTTGGTGACTGGGTTGTCGCTCATTTTTAAAAGATGTCTAATGGAAAACAGTGCAAGAGAGAAAAGAGAGAGCAGAAAATGGGGATTCAAATCAAAACTGATTTTGACTATTAACATGGCATGAGAAAATGAATGAACACACCCCATTATCAGTTCCATCACTCAAGATGTTGTCTGCAGTACATGTCCATACAGGTATACAAATCAAGCCCATCCTCAGTTAAAGAATACAGTTCTGGGCTGAACTCTGTAGTTATGTAAGCCCGTCACAAGAATCAACATGTACTTACAATCTACCTGATCACGGTGAACAAACAGGTCTGGTGTCATGTTACACATGTTACGCTGTTATTTACAGGTATTCAGTCTCACAAGAGAGCGGACATACTGTACTTGTGCATAGCTTTGAAAGGGTGGTGATATGGGTAATGAAAGTGCGTCTACGTGGGAAAAAAAAGTTTGACACATAGTTTCAGTATTATCTTATTTTTATATGACTTCTGTTGTAGAAATTCTATGTGGAGCTTGATATAATACTGTAACACCGCCCGCACCGACAGAGTGGACATCCTGCGTAAAGGGTGGCACAGTTTTATAATCTACATCATAGTGAGGATGTGACAGGTGAACGCACCAGCACGCGGGCCTGCTTGCGACAGGTTTGCTTGAAAAGGCAACGTTAAGTAATGATCAAGGCACGTACAGCTTGTGTGCAGAGGAATGCAGCGCTGCCAGGTGTCTATACACACCCCATAATATAACAGTAATATTAACAGTAACCTTACTGTATTGGAATGGCTGTATGGTCTATAGCAGAAATGTTGCATAACACATATAAGCCTTTGATGCATAGAAATAATACCATAACATTTATTATGATGTTTGCATTGCATTGCATTGATTAGGTGTTTTTTTTTAATGCACGGGCTAAAACAAAGAGAATTCATAATAATTTACCTGGTGCAGGGGTGCGCAGTGACAATGTCCTTTACAGGTAAGATGCGTGTGTGTTATCTGTGCAAAGCCAACGGTTAAATAGAGTCTATACGCCCTTCTGCACGCCAACATGGACACCCATGCTCTGGCTCTCATTGGCTACCAGAGCTCAGAGGAGGACTTTTAATTGGACGCGCTTGGTGCCTGACTTCTCTGAAATATTACAGGCTGCTTCTTGGGCACGGCTGCCCATTCTTGCCATGCAGTGTTGTAATTATCTGAATCATGTGTTCTTCTTTTCCTGAGTGAATTTGTTTGTCTACTATGCAGTTGAGCTCCCATTATAGTTGATGTGGATGATATCATCTTTTTACTTTTAACACAGTGTCATCTAGTGGACTGGTTATGACATTACACGGTTTGACATAAATCCATTAGAAAGGTAGGAGAACAGCAAGTACATCATAGAAACCACACAATGCACAACTGATAAGATTCATTTATTAATGCACTTTGAGGGAAAAAGTGTATTCTTCATTATAATGTTATTATATGTTAATTTCACAGGTTTATGGCCATTGACATATTCCTTTTACAGTCAAACAGATTTATTTAATGAGCTACATTAATACCAATGTATATGTATACTTATAATACCTACAGCGTATTAGAGTACTATATAACAATTTATTTTCAGATTAACATCACCTGCATGTCTGGACACCCATGCAGATTCTTGTCCAGGATCTTCTTGCACTGTGCCCTCTCATTTGTTCCAGTTCTTTAATCCACAGACAATTAAATAATATACTGACAATACACCTTGAACGTGCGTACATGTCCTTTAAAAGAGGAGCTCCTGTGATTTAGTATTTCACTTCCATCAAGTCTCCCAAGAGACAGATGGTCAAAATTAATATAGCAGAGACTGGGTCCAACTGTAAAAAGCATGGATGAAACCAATTTTGTTGACCCCTGAGCGACCATAAATAACCATCTCTTATAAAAATCCATGCCCCAGTTTGTTAAGCAGGCTTTATTTTATAAGTTGGAGTCTCCGACCTGATGCAGGGATGCTGGAAGTCAGTCAAAGCTAGGGGTGCTGAGAGAAACTCAGTTTATTTAATGATAACATATTAAAGGCTATGTGACAAATAAATATGCTGCAAAACCCCCCACATTAACCTTGTTACCAGATATATTTCATAATCTAGATCTGAAACCAAATTACACATCCTGTTAAACTAGTGGTGTACATGTGTCACTTTACAGTAGCAGCAATTGCAGTTACCTTGCGTACTCTAGCTGTAGCTGGCTAGACAGTACTTTTCTAACATAAAGTTGTCTAACATCACATTAGACAACTTCCTTGGATTGAGGACGGTTGGAGACCTTTGTTGGATGTCATTGCCACTTTCTCCCAGCCTATCAATTCTTCATTCTACTGAGTTAAAAAAAAAAAAACTTGACAAAACAATGTTCCTTTAGTGCCACAGAGGGGATTGCACAACCATTTCCTGAGTAGTAGCTCCCATGATGAGACTGAATTTGAGGAGTAAAATTGGTGAAATTCCCCTTTAAGACAATAAAAATACAAGGCACCTATGATTCACTAGCACCATATAAATACTAAATGATAAATATTCCCCCACCGCCTCAGAGACCGGGGTTTGAGTCCTGGCAGTTGTACCTTCAACTTACTAAATTGGCGTTGTTAGTTGATTTGAACCAGCTGATGGATCACGTTCTTGTTGCTACACTAACAATTCCCATTAATAGGCTTTTGTCACTTAGTAGCGGCTTAACAGTAGTAAAAGATGTAAATGTAAATGTAATAAAATTTATGATGGTTGAAATCCATTTACCTGCTACAGTTTAAGGGTCCTGGTACAGTTGATGATGGCTCAATGTCACACTGTTATGGCTTACTGGGACACTTATAATAGTTAATGTTATTAGTAACACCTGCAGTTTACTTGTATGCTGTGAAAAAGGCCAAATGGTTAGGGCACCTGCATGAACCGCAGGGACCGGGATCCGATGAATGCGTTTTGAAAAAGCAACATGGCTGTTCACTCACCAGTAAAACATTGAGAGTTAGCAGTGATAAGGAATATAAACACAAAAGGGCAGAAACTGAAAACAAAATACTCTTCAGACAAGTCTACGTCAAAAAAGTCTACGTAAAATAATTGCATGGACCGTTTTCTGGATCATAAATAACACAAATAATAAAACCAGCCATTTTTAACTGCGTCTATTCAGCTTGAACGCTTCTGCTGCCTGTCGTAGATAGCAGTGGTGATTCCCCATGTAATGCATGATCTCAAAATAACCAGAGAACCTCCTCGGTAAAGCAGAGTCACACTCTGCTGCCGAGACTTCCACAGCATTCTCCAGCAAGCCATGACCCCTTTCACTTCCCCTCCCACCTGTGCCTGCATATTTGCCACTAGCACAGACAGCGGGTAAAGAGCCAAGCTGATTGCCATTGAGGTCAGCGTCCCTGAGATGAAGGAGGACACCATTGGAGAGAGCCCCTGTCCCTCCACAACAGCACACATTGGCCCCTTCAGGCCAAAGTAGAGCGAGCTGCCAAGAGCGTTGCGGGCCATGATGGGCAGGAAGGCTCTGTAGTACCCTAAGCCCGGCCTCTGTGCTTGCAGCTTGACAAGAACACTCTTCAAGGTGGGTAGACGGTTGTCGTTTTGGCCATTTTGCAACACATTCTGGACACGCTCAAAGGGGGTTAAAACCACAGCTTCTACCATACCTGCACCGAATCCAGCCAGAGCAGGCAGGGCAGAGGCAGAGAGGACATTCTGGGATGACAAGGAGAGTTGGTGAAGGAGGGTGTCCTGGAGGCCAAAGAGGAGCGTACCATTCAGTGTCCTCATCAGTAATGGTGGGGCCACGCCCCTGTAGAGCTTTGCAGGACCCTCTTTGTAGAGCTGTCCCACTGCCTGGTGAACCGGGGTGTTGTGGATTTGTTGGCGGAAAACAGTTTTGTAGACAGGGAAGACGATGAGGGTAGGGAGGGTGGATAGCAAGCTGGAGGTCCCACCGTGCAAGTAGCTACGGAAACGAACCACTGGATCCCCATGGCCCTCTTTATCTTGTTTATGGTCAGGATTTCCTATCATTCTTGAGCTGATTAAAATCTGAAACACAAATCATTTCAGTTGTCAGGACAGTCCTACTGAAACTGAAAATAATAAGATTAAACAAAAAGCACAGGATGCAAACCCAAAGCAAAAAATATTACACTTAAATATCATGAACCAGTCTGTGATCAGAAACATTTAAGATAAATCAGAGATGAAATGTACCTACCCGTGTCACCAGGCAGAAGAAAAAGCTTAATGATTATACTCTCCTCCGTTCATTGTTGGATCCTGAAGGCAGCACGGGCGTCTATTCGTACACCATCACTACACGTGGAGTGGGGTAATTTCTGGTTATTTTACATTACGATTGCAGCCCGTTTTCACCCCGTTCCCATCCAAATGCGAGATGAATAAACTGTCAAACCTCGTCAGACGGTGTGCAGGAGTATGAAGGCGACAGATGGAATGAGTATTAACCGGCCGGTGCGTTTGATTGGTGAAGACAGGCTACGTCACGTGGCCAGCGATTGGTTATTTTGTCTATCAATCAAAGTATTTCCGTTGGAAGAAGGCTGTGTTCAATGCAAACTCGGAATAGACTTTTTAATATATATATATTTTTTAATTATTTAATTAACAAATAATTTATTTAATTTTAATTTAATAATTTTCTATATCTAAATGCTGTTTCAGATTATTCTCAACACATTCTGATAGGGAAATACAGAATATTTTATTATTTGCTGGGCAGAATAAGAGAAACAATGGGATAAGCATATACAAGATATAGACAAAGGGATTATAACTGTACAATGTAAACTCACTATGTTGACTAAAAAAAACCCATTCCAAAATATCAGAAAAGACCCAGAGACTAACAATAGAAATTAGGTTTTAGCAATATTAGACGCAAAAAATGTATTGTGTATAGTCCCTGTTAATAAATAATAAAATAATTGTAAAAAGTCTGGTCCAGCCTTGGTTGCATACAACTTGAAGCCTTACAAGCCTATAATATGGTACATTAATGCCAGAAATAACAGACACAAGTGCCACAGTTAAGATTTTGCGCATATTTCATTTTATTAAGAATGCATCCTCAGATAACTGGCGCATTCAGCCTACTGAAAAAGTAAAACACAAAAGTTTGGAATATGCACAATAATGACAAATCTTTCCTCCAGACATACAAAAAGACAAAAATGAAGAAGGAAAAGCAGGTGAACATTTCTGACGGAAGCTCCAGCCTGCAGAGACCCCAAACTAAAAACCCGACAGCTTCTCTATAGAAAGACCTTCAATGCAGAACCTCGGAGGGTAAACCCTGGACACTGGGCCAACCACACTCAATGAGGGCACCTCAAGAGCTGAAATAAACATGCAAAATCGTCTTCTACAGCCTGATAAGACGTGTGACAGTTCTTCATCCAGTGAGAATATAAACACAGCTAAATAGGAGGGAGAAATGAGAGAACTGGAAGAAAAAAAGTCATTTCATTTCAGACTGTTGAGGCACTCTTGGTTGAGTGGAGCTTCAGTGGCACTGTAAACTAGTTCAATACACATTCACTTCATTAATTATAATCTTTCAAACAGCAGAAGATACAAGAGCAACATGAAAAACTGCACTCGTTCATTGTAACAAAAAGCACTGTAACAGCTTTATATGGCAGATGCTTCTCCTGACCACTGGAACCTGCCAGGGATATTTATATAAGCTCTTTGACAACAGATTGAAATGACTCCTGGAGAGGTGAAATGGTCAGGAGAAACTCTGGATTTATGAAAGGGGGGGACAAAGTTCACAGTGGATAAACACTTATTTACCCGAGTACAATAAATACGCTGACCTAAACTGGTAGCTTGCAATTGCTTTGGTGTCCCAGACATGAAGGGACACCGCTCAAGAGGGAAGGGACTCAAGTGAGTGGGATCAGCATTAGTAACAGACATGACAGTTTTTTTGTGTTTTTTTCATGGTAAGTTAGCAGAACAGCTTTGCTAATGGTTGTGTTTGGGTTGGGGAATTCCCTCTTCTCTTATTTGGTGTAACAGCACACAGTAGATGGTAGACACTATTTGTTACAATGGGACGTGGCTGAACAGGTACGACACAGACTCCCCGTTGTGAGTTCTACGGATGGCCTCTGCAAGGATCATGGAGATGTCAATAACCTGGAGGGAGAGAAGACGGGATGATGTGAACACAACTAGACTGGATGAGTTGTTTATTGACAGAGAATTAAGTACTGTTTGTTTGTTATTTTACTTTGGTGTCTGGGAAACAAAAGAAAAGTGATAATCAAAATTATCAGTTGCAACCTTACATAAAACCAATGTAAATGCTGTATCCTGACCTGTATTTTGGGACAATGCTTCATCTTTTCCTCCTGAGGGATTGTATTGGTGACCACCACAGCTTCAAAGCAGGCATTGTTGATGCGTGAGATAGCTGGGCCGGAGAAGATGCCATGGGTTAGGATGGCATACACCTTGGTGGCACCAGCAGAAATTAGTCTAAAAGGGAGAGAAACAGTATGTTGCATTACACATCTCCACATGACTGGATATCAGTGATCAAGGTCTGTTTTAATTCATTAGTAACTCGAGCAAAGGCTGAAGCAACACAATACTTTTAAAAAGGGAGAAATAAATTCCCTACAAGTTAGAGTTTTGTTTGTTATTTTGTAAAAAAAATAAAAAAACTTTAAAAGAACAGCTTGAATTAAGTTTTTTTTGTTGTTAATGCAATGCAGAGTTATTCACATGTATTATCTAAGTATTGAATCAGGACTCAGTATCAGCAGACACTCAATATGAAATGACTCCGAAAAACTTGACCTGGACATAACTACTGGATATATATACTGGAATAGAGTTGAAATCAATAATTATCTCTTTCTAAATTAGTTTGACATCAGGACCACAGTAACCAGAGAAGTTATATTTTAAGGTTTCAACTGGATTTACCAGGAAGGGGTAAACAAAGAGACTTACTTGTCAGCTGCATGACAGATTGTACCACACGTGTCAGCCATGTCATCAACTAGAATGGCAACCCGATCCGTCACATCTCCGACGAGAACCATGCGGTCCACCTCATTTGCCTTTTTCCTCTCCTTGTGAATAAGGGCAAAGTCCACATTCAACCTGTCTGCTATTGAGGTGACCCTGCAAAGGGAAAAATACAATGTCCTTGAGTTAGAGCCAGTGTGCAAGCCAAAGTGTACAAAACTGTAAATGCACACATCAAATTAGAGCCAGAGGATAAGTAAAGCCAACAAAAGTTTAATCTAATGTGAATTCCAGAGGAGATATGGTGAGGGTAAGCTTTGCTCAAGGGTTAGAACACCTATGGCAAGTGGCACTGGCATACCTCTTGGCTCCTCCTGCGTCGGGTGAGACGATGGTACAGTTTTTCCATTCAGGGATGTTCTCTTTGATCCATTTCAGCACCGCTGGCTCTGCATACAAGTTATCAACGGGGATATCAAAGAATCCCTGGAAAAAAGATAACAGAGGTAATGATGATGAAAAACTGTACGTCTTGATCAGTCTTCACTTTCATGAAAAAAAAAAAGAGGATGAAAGAATAAACACGCAGCCTCAGATGTCCTTACTTGAATATATGAGTTAAATACAACACAGATCCGCTAAGAGAGTTCTCGGCAAACATGTGCACATGGGCACAGTCATAACAATAACCTGAAATACAAAGTTTAACACGTTCTTTTGTGGGTAACAAACACAAATCTGGTTGCGCTGCCATTACTGCTGACTATGGGACTGTTCACAGCAGCATGGGTAACTGGTTGACAATGTTAGTCAGTGGCCCCCAGTTACTGATGCAGGTACGTATATGGATGGAAAAAGGGACCACTCAACCGTTCGTCACATTTCAAGTGCTAGCTAGCATAATCAATCAAGAGTTGCATTTAATCATCACAGAGCAGTTATATTTGTAAAAATGTATAAATACAAATTAATGTTTTTTCATAGGTATTCAAGATTATTTCATAAATCGCCAGGCATGCAAACATTTTAGTCCTCTTATTTACTTCTGGTACTTCCTTGTGTACAATTTAATGTCAAAGTGTTTTTCTGTTCATTAATATCAAGAAAGTCTGGAACATCTCCAAGGACCTTCCCATCTGTAGCAGTGGACAGGCTGACACCTCCCTACATAAAACACTATGAGTGTTACGGCCTCCGAGGCCTCCTCAGGTCAACACACATTTCATGTATAATATCAAAGTAACTATATTAAAGTATAAATATCTACATTACCAATAAATTCTCCAACAAGTGGTATATGGACTCGGGTCACAAGCGCTACCTGCTGTCCTTTGTTGACATATTATATATAAACATAAGGCTGTAATCATCAGGGTTCTAATGTAGGTTCTCCAAAATCAGGCATAAACAAACAGGGGTTTCCAAACTTTTTGAGTGTGAGGACTACCTAAAGGGAGAAATGGTCAGTAATGTGTTTAAATGTTTTGATACAATGGAACCCATTTGTACACTTAAGACTGAAATTGAGATTATAGAACTTGCTCTGTGGGAGTATGTTGGAGACCCACTGGTTTATAATGTAAAAAGAAACAATGGCACTATAGCAAATGAGATGCACTTCTGTTTGGGTCTGCTTGCGTGTTGCTCACCTGTATCTGTGAGGCATGCAAGTCCATAGTGATGATATGGTCCGCGCCGGACACTGACAACATGTTGGCCACCAACTTGGCAGAGATAGGAGCGCGGCTCTGTAATGAAAATAGATCTCTTCAGTCACATGGAATAAGTGAACTGGCAAGCAAGGCTTGTTTCTAAAAATAGCACTTAACTGAGAGCTTAGCTATTCAGTAAAATGATATCAGTTAAATATAACAATCCTTTAGACTCTAGATCTTAATAATGGTAATATAAAAAATATTTACAGTTTGATTATTCATACTACTAATAATAACTACTAATTACCAGTATGTAGAGATGACTAAGCACACAGAGGCATTCAGTTTTAATTTCTGAGTTAGCTCTTAACATAAGAACAATACAACACTTATTGCTGTATAACAAACTCATCCTGGATCCTGGATATCTAGCCTTGCATCACAATAATTAACAATTCAGATTTGGTAAAAAGTGGAAAACATGCCATTCATGCAATGATTAAAATGTTGCAATGAGAGTTAATAACAGGCAAATAGCTACACAAGAGGAAATGAGAAGGAACTGGTGCTGACTCAGTAATGCATAAAGAAAGGGTGGAGGGGGGGGGGTGGCAGCGAACAAACAAAAAGAAAGCAAATATGCTTTGTCGAGTGGTTGTTTATAGACAGGGCTGCAGGCTTCTTGTCATGATGCTGGATGGCAAATGGCATGACAGAAGTAATTAGACAGATATCCCTCACCCCCACCTTGTCCTTCTTGTCTTGCCGGGCATACGGAAAGCAGGGGATGACAGCCGTGACCCTGGAGGCAGAGGCGATCTTGCAGGCGTTGATCATGATCAGCAGCTCCATCAAATTGTCATTGATCTCCCCACAGCCACTCTGCACGATGTAGACATCTTCCCCTCTTACGCTCTCCCCTATCTCCACGCTGCAAGGCAGGAGAGAGGCGACAAGACAAACAGCACTTAGTGCCACTGAGTTAACACACCATGACAGGCAGAAGATGGATGAGACAGGGTGAACTATAGCTTCTGTGTATGTGATGTTATCTCAAGGGTTAAATCTGGGGGGGAGGGGGAGGGGGCATGCTGAGTCAGAAAACGACAGTCGCAGTATTTTATATATGTATGACATAATTTCAGTTTACTGGAGGTGGCTGTGTGGCTCAGAATTAACAGCCAGGTTGATAGTTAGCATGAGTCCTCAGACATGCGTGGACTACAAGTTCCTAACAACACCGCGCGGCAATTTCATCGTGACACCACGTTTCTAATTTAATACATGTCGCTAGGCTACAACATTTGCATACAATGCAGCCATACGCCTTCCCTATGAGCTTCTTTAAGAAGTAGCCACGGCTGCAAACGCCTCACCATGTTTCTTGGTTGCTGAATTTCTTCGTAACAACCTTCCCCAGCTCGAGTCCCAGGCGGTCTGCTATTTTCTGAGACAGGTCCGGGTGTGAGCTACCGCTGAATATTTTGATATTCGGCATTTTTTTGCGATCCAGGGCGTCGTTCAGTCCGAGCGAGCGGCGGCAGCGAGCAGCTGTCGAGTCCGAGGGGGCGAAGAGTCCGAGACAACAACTGGAAATTGATCAACAGTTGATGAGCTACTCTTAAACCGAGCTAAACTGTGTTCCCTACCTATCCACCATTATGTCCCACACATCACGCGTGCGGCTCTTCGGGGCGGCGCGCACGCTGTCACTACGTTCTGCCGTGATTGCGTCATTCTGGGCAGGGGAGGGGGGAGGACGAAGGGGGGAGGACGGAGGGGCAGGGGGGAGCGTGAGCGAGCGAGGCACATCCATGTACTCTTCCTGAGTGTGACTGTGTCATCCTGCACACACTAATGCAAATAAAACGAGCAAATGTATGCAAAGTGAGGTTCTGCATAGTTGTACACACAAATAAGAGTTTTAATCGCCTCCTGTCGTCGTGTTTTCACATTTTATTGCCTCAAATATTGTTTCTAAATTGTTTCATACAAAACAGGGCTAGTTATGTTAGTGTTTGTAAACCATTAACTTGCATCCACTAAACCTCAGAATCGATTGTGGGTCCTCTGGAAATGTGGGCTCCTAGAAAATCCACAACCTTTCTTGGTTTGGAGGATACTGCAGTGCATGTATAGGCCAAGACACTTTCCCATATTAGCTTAAACTAAGGCAAAATGATATTTAGCTTGCAGCTCTCTTATAACTCAGATTCAGTGTCAGCGATAACAAGTCTGCACATTCCTCCTGTGTTGTCATAAAAGCTAAAATCTATCTCCCCTCAGGGCCTCAGAGACAACAGGGCGAATTTTGGGACCAAAACAAATGTGAGTCAACAAAATCTGTAAAAAGAGGTAAGTATAAGCCTTTTTAACTGCAGATTTTTTGACTTGTCATAGTAGGAAAAAACACAGGTGTTACTAATAACATTAATGGCTCTGTTTTATTCAAATGTCCCTGTAAACCATGACAATGTGACAGTGAGCCAGCATGCTTAATACCAGGACCCTGAAACTGATGTAACTAAATTGAATTCGGCCAGCATTAACTTTATTGTTTGCACCTGTGCTTTTTATGTCTACTGTGAATAAAGCCTATCGACTATGACTGTTATTCTTGTATGTTTAGGTTTTGATTGGTGTGTAAAATTATGGGTGTAACATATCTCTGAACATCCACAGACAGTTGTATTTTCACTGGATTGTCTTTCTTGTTGCCAGTTTTGTAAATGAACATAACCTTATTGTTTTGGGCAAAGAGGCTCCCCTGGCTAGTGGTCAGCTTAGCTTCAAATGCTTAGAAATAACATGAATGACACAGATTAAGTAAACCTATAATGTTAACAACATAAAGCCATTTTGCTGTTAATTGTTGGTGTTGTGTCAAGTCAGGGAGGTTTGGACTGTTGAGTCAACATGACTTTTTGTCAGAGGCAAATGAATGAAGCAACCACAGCAGTAAGAAACTGCTGGCAGCAGCAAGAGAGACGTTTCCAGATCTTTCACATGACGTCATTTGTTTAAAGGCATTCTCATGGACATCCTGTCACTACTGCAACTTTCCTGCATGCAATGTCATTTCCAAATTCTCTGAAAGAGTTCATATAATATACTTTATTGCTCTTAAAACATGAGTTAACTTTGTACACAGACAGAAGACCACAGTGACGACAAGATCATTGACAGTAAATAAAGACAGGAATGAATAGGTGCACATAAAGAAACAATGGATTAAGCCATGGCGGGCTCATCGTGTGAATGAAACACAGACCACTGAAACCAAATCCACACAGTTTAGCAAAACAACTGAACAATGACAACCACAGAAAATGTTTATCATAATGTTAAAATGTTCAAGTGCTGATGAGAGAATATTGTCTGATATTTTTGTTTATAAAAATAAACATGTCCCATGCTTTATACTCGTAATATACTCATTAAAATATATGTTTTGCTATTAGTCTATGTTACATTACTACTATAAATAATTACCTTACAGACATGTTTGATCTTTTCCTTTTTACAAAATAGTGAAGAGTTTGGATAAATCGTAATGTTACTGTTTTAAAAGTGTTTCTTGTTCTCTCAAATATTTTATCTTGCTATTTACATTTACAGTGTAGAATAATACATTTCCATACTCAATATCATTTGCAAAACATTAACATATTGCCACCATGGCCTTTCATTTTTGCCTGTTCTTCCACTTTAGAACTGGAAAATTATCTGTACAAACAGTATCATCACCTTCAATGGTCAAAGTATCTGCCCCTGAAAGACTAATACGTAAGGGAAAACATGCATTACAGTGAAAGAGAAAACACTGCATATGGTTATGGAAAATGCCACATCAACAGCGAAGGACAAACCAGTAAAAGAGAGTGCTTGTAAACACTAAATGTGTCCTGAAACCAAGAAAATAAGTGCAACACAGCTGCTATCCTGCTTTCACTTTTATACTCCCAGTAGTAAGCCATATTGCTTAACTGATGAATAACTGACACAATTGTCCCACAAAGTCATATTAATAACAAATAATCCAAGTTGAAAATATAGATACATTTAAAAATGAAATAACTGGCTCAAATTTACAGCAGTATTAAGACATAATTTAACTATAACGTATGTGGTATTTAAATGAACCACCCATGATTTCTGATGTTTGTCAAATATTGAACATTTGCAAGCTTTTTCATCTACAGTATGTCCACTGTATGGCACGCTAAAATTAGTTTCCTACCACCGTAACAGTTCAATACCTTTATTCAAGGATAATTCATTTGAACACTCTGCTGTTTACATCATATACAGTATTTTATAAACATTTGAGTTATTTTCATTGGAGTACCATGTAAACAGCAATATCACATTTCTTGTCTTTAGTATTGTGGCAGTCCAGTTGTCAATATTAATGTGGTTTCACAGCACTTTCTTTTAACAGTATGTCCAGTTTACATGTTAGGCCAGCACAATCATAAAGCCTCTGTGATTAAGAATAACAAGAGGATGAGACACAAAGAAGATTTCAGACAGGAAACAGATGTGTTAGTTTTATTAAAATACATAGAAAACTACTTTGTGTGTTTCTTATATATTTGCTAGGTTGCACAATGTATAACAGCACATAGAAAGCAAATTTGTTTATAGTGTATCTGAAAACCTGAATAAAAACAAAGGATCCTTTGAAACGGGTAAGCTTTAGCTTTGAGGAGATGAATTATGTAAAAGTGGTGGTGTGGAGTTTTCAGCAGCAGAGTGAATAAAAAACACTTAATCAAACATTAAAAGATACATTTCAACTTCAGAGCTAATTTCAGAGGTTGTGCAAAATTCTAGTGATAAGCTTACTCACTTGCAAGTGGATGGTTATATTTAAAACTATGATTCACGACAAGTGAGATGCAAGTGAGCCATGGATCTGTGATGGTGTAAAACACTCTGTGCGTTAAGTACAGTGTGGGTATTCCTTCTCTACAGCTGAGTGAGGTAACAACACTCATTACCGTATAGTGGATAAGACTATGATTTGGGTCTCTGCTACATTGTCTGCCCTGAGCAGGTGTGTTTCAAACCTGCACTGTTATAGTGAGAGAATGGGCCTCTGTCAGTCATTATAGTTTAAAATGTCATACCTGTCTTTCAGCAGTTTTCATTTTCCAACACTGTCACTTACATTTTCACTCTTGTATCAGTACGCCAGACATAGTCAACATAGCCAACAGAGATCTCCATTTTGCATTACAACAGTTAGAAAATTCAACAAACACACACATCACCATCTAACCAACCAACGCTTTGGACTACGCAATTAACAGAAGTCGCTACGTGACGAGATCTCTGAAATATTTTTGTCCAGAGCAGAGCATACATTTATTTCTGATGATTTATTATAATCTTTATAAGTCTCTTAACTCAATACATTTCAAATATATTCTTCACTTTTTTCTTCACAAAACTTTATATTATTTGCTAAGTAGACACAACTCAAATATACATTACATATAAAATATTATACTATAGTGACTTATGTATATTGTGAATATTGATATGAGGTGATTAGCCCTGTATCACCCAGTCTGTTATAGGGTTCTTATTCCATTGTGCATTAGTTTGGTGTATCTTTATATTTCAAAACAAGATCCACGAGGCTACCTCAGGGCCTGTAAACATGGGATGGAACAGCTGCATTGCAATTTATACTGAAGATTGCATGACTTGTAAAAAATGTAAACAATAAACAAATAATGAATTTGGATAGAGTAGCCACCCACATTCTGTACTGTTTTGATTACATCCCTGCCAGATTTATCCTTACTGGGCAGGCAGAGTTTTGATGGGTCGAGTGAGTGAGCTCATGTTATTGGTGTTGGAGGAAACTTGAGGGCTCACTGTCTTTGTTGGCAAGCTGCTTGAGTGTCCCATTGATTCTTCTGCTGCACGTAGAAGCAAAGTGTAGTTGATAGCTACTTCTTCAACTTTTCTCAACAGCTGCAGCCTCTGGGTTTCTGAACGAACCCCTCTGACCAATTTGATGAAGGTCTGAGTTAGTTCACACAACACTTGAAAGCTGGCTGTGACAACAGCAAGCATACGTGTTGGACTTTTTTCAACACTTGCCACTCGCCGACAAGATGCTCTGAATTCTTTGAAGCGCACCGCCAGCTCCTGTTTATACTCTGCAATCTGTGAGGGCTGAAGACGAGCCTCACCCTCAGCTTGTGGGCTGTTAGCACACTGACGCAGGATAGCTAGCAACTCATTAGCATCCAACTGGGCATTTAGGAAACCATCAGGCAAGCTGAAACTTTTCCCCTGTAGAGCCTGTACCCGTGCCAGGCTCCCCTCCAGTGTACCACAGGCTCTCAGGTCAATCTCCTGTGTTTGTGGCTCCTCCTCTTCCTCCTCCTCTTCCTCTCCACTGCAGTCCTCTGCATTCAGAACCTGGAGTGTTTTGCTTACTACAGGAAAGGTACGTGAGTCCAGCTCCATGCCTGGAAGGACCTGAAGGGGTATGGAGTATGAAAGCTCGTCCTTCTCACTGCTTTCATCTGCTGCTTCACACTTCCTGTAGCAGAAACAGAACGAGCAGCATTTATCTTTTTCATCACTGTCTTCACTGGGCAGGGTCAGCAGCACCTCGCCAGTCCCATCTTTACCTTCACGCAGTAGCTCTTCTCCCTGAATAAAAAACACACCCTTTTTTCCCTTTCCTTCTGCCTGGTGAGACTGAGTGTGGACTGGCTCTATTGGGGTGGGGAGCCTCAGCCCTGTGGCCCTCACTCTTTCCATCTCCTTCTCTAGGCTCTTGGCTTTGGGCTTTACTTCAGCATACACAGGTGTGCTAGTGCTGTTATCCAGCTCTCCAATGCTGTAACGCCTCTGGAGCTTCTTATATTGTGGTGCTCCCATGCAATCAGTTTGAGAAGTACAGGTGGGCAAGCAGGAACCCTGTTCTCCCCTTGGCTCCCTTGACTCAAGGCTGGTAGAGCGTATTCGTGTGGTCTTGATCTCTAAGGTCTGAGGTCTCCTTGTAGCACCTTGGGTATGAGGGGCTTTGGAGACTGCTGGAGGAGTCTTCGAGATAGTTCTGCCTCTGTGTTGTGTCTCTGTTGTGGAGCCAACTGGTGTATCAGGTAGTCGCATGCCCCTACACATCCGCTTACAATCACAGCTGCGTCGCTGCTCCCTGGAGATACCTGGTGCCTTTAGGACAGGGCTGGTGCGGAGCTGGCAGGCACAAGGAGTGCCTGAGGGCACAGGTGAGGATCCCTGGGGCAAAAATTCGCCCTGGGATGACTTGGGTTTCAGTAGCTCCTCTAAGAACTCTAGTTCATACTGACGGACTTTCTGCAACTGAGCCCTTCGCTCATCTGTTTCTCTTCGCATTCTTGCAGGGAACGTAGCCGAAAGAAGGTTTCTAAAGCTTAAGAAAGGGACACTCCGCTGGGACTTCCCCTTACCACTAACTTGCTTCTTTGAGTCTCTGGCTGGGAGAGTAGAGACCTTATCTACAGAGAGGCTAGGTGTTGTTGGATCATCTAAAATAGGTAAAGATTTTATGGGGCATCTCTGTGACTCAAGGTGAGATTTGCCCGTGGCAGCCTCAGCCTTGCTTTCAGCTGCTTCTTTTCTCTCTGCTTTAACAGGCAAACGAGGGGAGTACTTGGTTTGCATCTGAGGGCTGGGTTTTGCCAAACTAGGATCTGCTCCTACTCTCACTGTATTTTCTTTGCTGTTAGCCAGCTGTAGGCCTTTGGCCCGAAGACGCTCATCATCTGTGGGGGAGGAGGATTGAAACACCACTACCTTCTGAACCTGTGGATCTTTTAGTCTTAGTTGGGGTCCAGGCTCCTGCACTGGGCATGTGCAGAAAAGGTCGTCAACTGGCAGAAGTTCTGCAGAGCTTGAAGGCTTCATGGTCTCACTAGAGGCAGTCTTGGCATCTTGGCACATATTAGTGGGTGAAATCTTGGCAGAGGCAGTTCTTTCCAGAGGCAGGAGGATAGGTAAGGCTTTGTTGCTAGGGTCTGTATTAAGAGGTGCTGTTGTCTTCCCCTTTATACCATCAGAAAGATTTTGGGTCAGTGTCTCCCCTAAAGAATTTGAAAACTTCTGATCTTTACTGACTTGAGCTGTCAGTGAAGCATCAGCCATTTTAAGTTCTTCAGGTGATTTAGAAGGGGGGTCCGTGGTGTTTGCTTTGGTGGACTCAGAGTTTGCCTTCGTTTCTGCTTTCTGTTCAGTCTGAGTAGTGTCTTGATTGCCCCCCTGCTCTGTCACAACACTGAGCACTGCAGAGTCTTGACTGGGCCCGACTTTAAAGGGAACAGTCTTGCTGAGGATTACTTGCTTGGGTGGACAACCGGCACGAATCTGACCCACAGAGAAGGCCCCAGTCCCTATGGTCTTTGCAGTGCAGCCAGGGATAGCCAGGGGAAAGTCGCGGCGGCAGAGAATACGTTCCTTGTTGATATGGTGAGCCAGCAGATAGGCCTGGTTCTGGTTCTGCTTCATAGCCGACACCATCTCAGAAACATCTGTCAATTCAGAGGAGTTGGTCTCATGGCCTGAGTCCAATGATGACTCAGGTGTAATGGCAGCTAAGACAATCAGCCCTGAGGAGGAGAACACAGCACACCGTTATGATAAAGAAACAACTAATATTAATAAGATAGAAATATTCAAATGGTATATTTTAGATTTTTTTTAGACATTTACAGTTGAATGGATTCATCTTGATCACAAAACAGCCAAAAATATTAATACTTTTAATTTGTTCTCAAAATCAGTCCTTTAGGATTTATAACCCCTTTTCAGACTGCAAACTATGCACCATTGGGCTTGCCTCACCCAACCTGAAAGAACTGCTGTGTGCTTGAGAAATGTGCAAAGACTAGCAAATTTCCTACTCTGTTTTTATGTTTTTAAAACACAATGTGTAATAATCAACTATTGTTTTCATTTATGTAAAACCAATGACCATAATATTTTCAGCTTGACTATAATAGTGTTCTAGTTAGGGTTATCGGCCAATTGTTCAGCATCCTGTAGGTATGAGGTAGTTTTGAACCTTCTACCTTAATTATGTGTTGCACTTATTGTGCATGCATTGCTACCATAATATTAAGAGATTACAGGATTTTCATGCCATTTCACAAGGAGATTTTAGTAAGACTGTAGTTATAATGAAAATATGATGTATTGTAAAAGTATTGTGTGATATTAATTGATAAAAATAATTATTTAATTGTATCAGTATTATTGTTGTTAATGACTGAGGCTGTTGACCTGCAGTCTGTGTTGGCTGTTGAGGATGATGGGGGTAGTCCTCAGAGGCTGCCAAAGCCTCTAGTGCCTGTAATGTGGACACCAGAGCATCATCAAGTTCCTGGGCATGATCTCGGACTGTTCTCGTGGCAACATTATCAATCAGTGTCACAGGCACATCTTCCTTGGCTTGGGCCAGCTTCCCAGAGGCAACCCCTGCGCTGGCACTGGCTCGAGCCTTCCTCCCTCTCTTTGTGTCATCCTCATCTGAACTGTTGTCCCTGAAGCCAGGTGGTGGGGCAGCAATAGCAGGTGGTGGTGGTTGCAGCTTTTCTCCTCCACCATCTGGCTCGTCCTCCTCTTCATTCCCCGGGGGCGGTAGTGCCATGAGGTCAACAGCACCTCCATCTCGGGAGGCACAAGCACTGGAACAGTGTTTTCCAGAGCTCCCACTACTGTTAAATGCTGTTGTAAGACCCTCTGCCCTGTGCCTGGCTTTGCAGGAGTCACAGAAGTATCGTGAGGTTTTCTGGGATTGTCCCATAGTTTGGGCTCGGATTCGGAATCCTGCATTCTCCACTGCTGGGGTTTCTAAAACCCCAGCTATTTCCTCTGTACTCTGCTGGGTGGGGTCTGACTTGGTGCGGGGCCGCCCAGGGGGCTCTTGGGAAATAAAGTTCTCATTGATGTCGAGTTCAGCTTCGGTGTGTGTTTGGAGCTCTTGAAATTGTTGTTGTTCTCGAAGGTGGACATGACACAGGCCTAGATGCTGAGGCTCTGCTGGAACAAGGGCCCTTGCGGACCCTGACTCCCTGTGTGAGCTTTCCCTCTCGTCCCCTCGCCGCCCTCCACTTGGCAAGCTGGTTGCCCCAGAACGTGGGTGGGCATGGTGGGAGCTTCTGTAATCTGAGGATAGAATTGTCAGAGCAGTGGAGAGTTTGAGGTGTTAAGAATTAGTTGGGATAGAGAAGATCCTTATGGGAAAGCAGAGGCGACAGCTGGTGGTCACATGGGGATTATTTGTTATTTCAGAGATGGATGTTGAAAGTTGAAGTTTGTTTGAGGTTGGAGGGTTAGATTCTGGTGGAATGTGATGGTATAATGATCCTTCTTTAATGTGGACTACAGGTTGAGACAGCAGATGACAGAAGATCTGTTCATGTTTGAACAGTAAATGTTTATGATCACAGCAAAAAGTACAATTCACTGTAAAATTCCACAATGTTATTCTAAGAAACATGGAGTATCCCATTCCAATGAGTCAAGATTGAGATGAGAGGAGAGACAGCAGAGGGCGCCATGGGATGGTAGTTCCAGGATAACCTTGTTACTACAGGTAATGGTTTCAGCCAATGAAAAAGCAGATCAATGTCCATGTAGACTTAACATATAATGAAGATTGTCAAATATTGCCTGACATGCAGTGTCTAATATGATGCTGAGATAAAGACACTTTCATTTATACAACTCTAAATGGCGTGATATGAATGTTTCATTGTAAGCTTTTGAGTAAACAGTGTTGTTTTCTGTAAATTATTTTACATTTGATATATATTGTCTAATCAGAGCATTTGTTCAAAATGAACCACAAGTCAAGAAGACTTCTAACATACCTGCCTTGGTCAGCTGAGACTGACCAGGAGTCCGGAAGTAGATGGTCCGTTTAGGGTCTACAAACAGCTTGTAGTAGCCAGAGATGAGGCAGGCAAAATTACTGGCATCAGGCCATTCCATGAGAAGGACCAAGGGCTGCAGAGGGTGGTAGGGAGGGGAATTAGGAGACTATTTAGGGGACAGGCAATGGGCATTGCCTGCTCATTTTGTAATGACCTGATGAAATAAAATGTATGAAACTGTTGAAAGATTTGGTACTTAATAATTTTATCATTTATGAAGTTAAAATGAAAACTAAAGCGATGGCATGCAAATGTATATTTTCACTATAGTGCAAAATTGTGTGTCTTCAGATGTATCAGGTGTAATTGTGTGAATCTTTGGACATTGTGTTGTAATACCTTGGCCTCATGGATTGTCACCTCCACACGAGCCACCCCTTGGCTCTCTCTGTAGAGCTGGATCTTGGCAACCCTACTGAACTCGGCCAGAACGGTTGTGAGGTTGTTTTTCAGGTCAATCACATGACTAATGCCATGTCGAGGACCCACCAGTAGTGTTGTAGCTGACTGTTTCTCATCCTGTAGGAGGACACAGGAAATTTATAACAGCATTTACTTACTATATTGGAACGTCACATTATACCTTTCAAAATCCACTGTTTTGACAGTTTCATTAAAATGTTAAATCAATGCATTGAAAAATGTGCTCCCTCTGCGACTACAAAGACAGCTTCAAAGACACATTACGGAAAATAAATGGAGCAAGGAATTAAGTAAAAGAGATACATGTATTCCTGTACCCAAAGATTAAAAAATGCATTACCAGTCCAACAGTGTGGAACAGTATTCCACCAAAAGGTGGGAGGTCGTTGAGTACACGCATGTACTGCAGCTTTCCTTGGAGAGGAGGGACCTGTCAACAGAATGATAAACAAGAAACGCTCATCTTTGAAAGAGGAATCCTCCTCCAGCACTTCCCATGTCCTCCTGGGGGCACTGTTGGGCCACAGATGTTGATCATGAGGTCTTATGCAACAGTTACATCTATAGAGATTAAGGGCTTGTCCTAAGATAAAGGACTAGTTATCAAGCAGACATAACCATAGAATACAATAAATTAAAATCTCCTCTAAAGAAGCAGCAAAGTGTTGATATTTAAATGTTAATAGTAATCAAGAGTATGGTAGATCTTTATGTTTTTGTTATGCTTATGGACGTGTAACCAAAGACAGTAACATTTTCCACAAATAATAGATATTTCAATCATGAAAATGTTTACAATTAACAACTAGTGTCAACATCTTATATGGAGAAACCTTGTTGCCCGAAGGTGGTGGATGCTGGTAGGTCTTCAGCAACTGCGACAGGCTCTTGCACACATTCTTCTCCTTGACTGTTGGGAGCAGAGTGAGGGGAAGGAAAGGCTCGAGTCCCCATTCTTTTCTGTGATTGAGGGCAAAAGGGAGAAAATGAAAAAGAGAAAAACAACAGTGGAGTAGTCCGGGGAAGATATCCCAAGTGAGAAGACAAAAGAGTTTTTTCATCCCATGGGAAAACACAGTGAGCCTAGCTTACATTCTCTATGACTCCTGGGTTGACATGGCCACGCTATGTCTATTACAAGCACAGTAGGTCTGTTCTGCTTCTGTGGTTGTGATGGCAGAAGCTAATTACCTGCTAGGTTGAGGTTATGAAGAATAAATGAGCAAATTGAGGGAGAGATGTAATTTCAGAAAGCAGTGGATTTCTTTGTCTCATAACAACCTAGGCAAAATGATCCCAGAGTAATTTGAGTTTTTAATACTATTGGGATTAATTATTAATCATTTAGACATTATTGGATGAAGGAAACTCACCATGGGACTCACTGATATGCTACACAGAATTGTTAATGAGGTAAAAAATGCAATACATCAATTTTTGTCTGTAAGTTCATTTGAAAGCTAATTTAGTTTGTGGACTTACTCGACATGCTTGAGAGAGATCTTCTGATTGGGCCGTGCGGAGGACACAGTGATGTAGATATGGAGAGCAGCCAATCGTAACGTGATGTCAGATTTCCAGTCCATTCCAAAGCGCTCCTTGATGACGTCATTGCGACTCTGTTAGGACATGATAAAATGTTTTGTGCACAGGGAGACAGCTTTCCAATTCATTAGACTGTCAGATATCTGTAGTTAATGTGGAAGCGTTGTTGGAGTCCTTACAAGAGGGCCATTGTGTCTAAAGCCTGACTCTGGCATGTGCAAAAATTCTAACTCTAAAATCAGTCAGAGAAGGCAAGAGTAAACATAATCTAATGGAAACAGTAAATAAAACTAGCTACTTATAAGAACTTATCATCAGTGGCCCCCCTTGCTCCTCAAGGAGACCGCTTTCCAACAGTATCGTGAGATTGAATGACATCCTTTCAAATCCCTCTTTAATCCAGCACTTCACCTGTATATAGAGGTACTCAAATGCGGCGGGGTCCCTTCTCAGCAGGTCCGCAGGGTCCTTGGGGAAGAAGCAGATGCGGAACAGACACTTCATCCCTTGGAAATAGGTTCTATGCACCACCTGAGGGAACACGGCAGTATCAGTATCAACTGACTACATCTTTGGCATTAGTCACACATATCACAGTATTGTTTTCCATAGGTAAACGGTGCTAGTGCATTCTGGATGCAGCACTGTGTGTGTTAGCAATGCGATGATAAGTGTGTGTAGATTTAGTTTCATCAAAGTGAGCAAATGCAAGAAATGTAGAGCCAACAACAACCAACAGCCTAAAACATAAATATACAAGACTGAAAGTCAAGAAAGAATGTGATTTGCATTCAAAATCACAGAATCATCTGACTTATGATTTATTATTTTAATTTCACCTTTTAGTTAGTGGTATCGATTAGATGCCAGAAGTTTCAGAGCTCTCAACTTGCTTTTCAGTTTTCCTGACAGTATGTTAGATCATCTGATCAATAAAAGGGCAGCAGAACCACACCACAATAATCAGCCCAACCAAAGGCAATAAATGCTGAAACTGTAAGTTTGAATGCAAAACACAGTTATTTTCAATTCCCATTTTGGCACTTTGTCATATATTCATATAAATATATAGCTGCTATTGTCCTCAGACTTTCTCATACTTATACTCATTTAGCTGTCTTGTATTTCTTACATGTGTCAGAGGCTGGTTGTCCTGCAGTAGATGCAACCTTTGATTCTGGTCCAAACCACCTGCCTCCAGCACCAATGCAAAATGCTCAATGTAGCGCAGTGAGAGGCGGTCCTGCAGGGACGAGATCACATCCTGAAAGAAGAGAGATTAGATTAGACTGAAATACATTTTCACAGTAAGAACACATTTTGTTGCAACAAAAAACATATATTTGATTGATTGTATGGAGGTAAATTTTCTGAATTCACTCTGTGTTTGTCAAATTGATATCCTTAAGATGTGTTTAGGCTCTTTATTTTATATTTGTCATTTTGTACTATGGAGAGCTTCCATAGATATTCTTTATTCTGCGCAGTGAGTGCATCCTATTTAAGAAAATAACATCTGCATGTCAGGGCGTGCAGGACAAACTTTTGCTTTTGTGCAGATCAGTGTCTATGAATGATGTAGAGCTTTTCTCATATCCTATTGTACAGAGAACACTGTCTGAGGAGAAATTCACAGTTAATCATATCTTACCGTGCTGTGAGCAATGCCTGAGGATAAGGTTTCAGTATTTCTTTGACCTCTTAATATATTAAAGGTATGGATGTTCTAGGGATTCTATTGTAGTGATATGTTGATGTAGTTCGTCTTTAAGTCTGTCAGTATGAACACTCATTAAGAGCTGTAATGTATGTACACTAATGGTTTGCTCTTCATAAACAATTTAATTGACACTTGTTAATGTAACCTAAGCAGCAGCTGTTTCTGGAAAACAGGGATAAGCAGTTTTAACAGTATTGACCTGTGCGGTTTGCATTAAATGACGTCTGGGGAAGCCAAACAATCCACTGAAGGACACAGAATGCTATAGATTGTATTCTAAAATATAGCAGGAAAGCCTCTTTAGTTGACAGACAGTCTAATGGGCATCCTATTGTATCATTGATTTAATCCGTAGTATTGTTTTATTGATCCGAGCCTCCTTATTATGCTGAAATTCCATTTAATTAGGCTGACAGGAGCAAGCTTCCTCTATCTCTCCTTTAAAGTGCTGCTGTGTTTCTTCTTTTCTCCCTCACTCTCCCTCCAAGAGCAGAGGAGATATTTGTGAAATCTAATAGAGTCTATTTAATGAGTCTGCTCGGAGATGTCAGACTCATCTTAGAGGCTGACATAGAGACAGAAATGACCTCTGTCTGACTGAATTCATTTGTTGCTTTATGGCCTTAATCACATTACTGAGATTTTAAACTTAAAAAACTGATAAGATGAAAAAAGAAAATTAAACCTTTTTTGTATTTATCATCTCAAAGCAATTAGATATAAACTCGAAAATGAGGCTCGGGCGATAAGTGTTATATTTATGTGTGACAGAAATCGTGGAGTGCGCCTGGGTTGTATTGATAATTGCTTCCCATGAAGCTCCATAACAATCATATTATACAATTAAAAATCCATAGAAATTCAATAATATGTAAAAGCCACCAAAAATCAACAGTAGTATATGCTCATATTTTGTATTATAGTATTATTATAATATTAGGCTTAATTTTAAACATATAGTAGTTGATTTCTTTGGCTAATTGGGCGACAGTGCATCAAGCTACAAACACAATTGTGACGTAATATCACTAAGAACGGTACGATATACAATTCTATCACAAATCGTGTTAAAACAGTATAAGAACTCAGTATTTTGTGGTGAATTTCCATTAGTGGGATAATCGTGAATTGGAATTATCGTGAATATTTGCACATGATTGACTTGAAAAGGCTGTCTGGCGCTCTAACATATTAACATATTTGATTTCCTGATTTATTTTTAATTGCCACAACTAATCATAGGACGTTGAAGATGCGATTCATCTTCTCATCTCCCTGTCGTTCTTTAGTTTGGAATCCATAGTATTTCCACACATCCAGTTGAGGCAATTAAAAATAAATCAGGAAATCAATATAGGCCTGTATCTTAGAGATCTAGACAGCTTTTTCAAGTCACTAATGTGAGATGGTCATGATTATCCAGATAATGGAAATTTAACACAAAATACTGAGTGTGTTTTTTCATGATAAAATCATATATCTTATATTCCTAGCCACAACGTGATGTGTGGAAATACTTCAGATTCCAAACTAAGGAACGGCAGGGAGATGAGGTGCCTACCTGAGGTGTCATATCTGTGATACAATAAAAACATTTGTTTCTTCAGAAAATGTAAGCTAAAGTAATTCCTATATGTTTTAGAGCAATTTTAAGTTTTAAGTTTTAAGTATATTTTAATGGTGAATCGCATTCATTTTGTCCAAGATAATCGTGACATGATATTTTTATGTTGTCCCCTGTCTACTTATCATTTAATAAACAACATTATCATTAATTTGAAGTTGTGTTTCAGGGCCCCTGATGATTGCTAAGTCCAATATTCACTCTTCTGTTCTGTTTTGGTTTTTACTGGCTCCTGGGGAAAAAACAGTAAAGTTGACACTAAACACAAAACTGACAGTTGACTCCAGAGAACTGTAACAAACTGCAGAGTTGGGAGATAATTATCTGTGGGTTCATCACTACAAAGACCAATGCCAGTATAGTCATTTGATGCACTGTTAATATGAAAATGTATTGTATCTGCTTTAAGTAAAAATCCCAATGGTGTTGAAATTTAGTTATCTTTCCCATGTGCACAGCTGTAGTGAATACATACCCTAACAGTGGTACGGCTATCGAATGTAAAGGACTTAATCTGTCCATTCTCCAAGAACACCTTCAACACATTTGGTATGAGTAGCAAGGAGTCGTCCTTGAGCATTGTCTGAAAGAGATTGAGGGAGAAAAGAGCTTTGTTTTAGTGATGGTATGTGTGAGAATGTGCCAAAGAGGTAATCAAGTTTTATTTGTACAGCACAAACACAGCCAGCTGCATTGGTAGGTCTGTGCTTTGTTACTGAGACAAAAATAAAAAGTAGTGGAAAAGGGAGGGGGTCCATAGGAGGAGTATTAAGAAACAAAGACACCTTATGGATGGAGAGATACTTCAACTAAACTCTGGAGTCAGAGAAGGAGTACAACTCTGCCTAAGGATGCCCATCCCATGCATTTTATCAGGATCAAAGAGGGCTTATTCAGTTTATCCAGTCTATCCATTCAATATATATGCCACGCAAAGAAAATTGGATGCTAGGATTGAGAGTATTCACCACAGAGTTTCGTGAGTAGAAGCACAAGAGGAGAGGTCTGATTCAAGGTTACTGCTTTTACTCAAATCACTTGTTAGAAGAAAAGTTTTGATATACCGTTCAGTTCTTCTTGCTAAGATGTGACAGGCACTCTTCCCTCCCTGTTGCTGTCTCTTTTTCTTTTTTTTATCTCACTGAGGGCTTTTTAAGGAAAAGACTCATTATGTAGTTTCAAAGAACCACAGTTGTGATCAGAGGGAAAGACGATACCTAATGTAATAAGATAGACGCACTGTGACATGTGGCAAGGATGCGAAGGGAAACAACCTAACAAAATCAAATCCATAATTTTGGGCCAAAACAAAATCAACCCTTATCTTTTTCCTGTATTTCTTCCATTTTCTAATCTGATGATGGGATTTGTAAGAACAATAGACAGTCATTACTCATGACAGTAAAGGGATGTGGATTTATTGGAACAATATATCTCAGAAAAATGCATTTAGTTGAAATGGAGAGCTGTGTCCACAGCAGATGCCCGGCAGTCTGCTTTTAGAGAAGTTAAGTGTTCAGAAGGCTCAACAAGCTGTTCTTCTGCGCAGATTGAAGTCTGAGTTATGAGCAAACAGATCTTTCTCCATACTGTACCCTTTAAGCGAGGGTGAACCAAGAAATGCCACCAACCGGTCTATCACTTCCCATTACAAGCCATAACTTTGTTTTTGTTAGTGAGGCGAGAGAGTTGAGGCCGATTTGGCACATACCACGAAAATGTTATGAGATGCAAATCACAGTTCACTGCTATGGCCTCATCTCTTTGCTCCTCTCTTTCTCTCAATAAATGCCAGGCTAGTTGGCCAGCGCTGGTAAATCTTTTGATGATCAATAGCATCCTATGGCTCCTGGTCACTGGAGACAGACATCTAGAAATGTCTTGCCATGGGTTGGTGGCTGAAACATTTAATCATTACCAATCATAGCATCCACCTCCTATCTCTGCCTCAACAGTGCCTTGTGTTCTGTACCTTTAGCTCTAATAAATTGGATTCACAAATCTAAGAGAGAAACAGGGAGGAAGATTAGTTCATTCAGACAGGGAGGTCCAGTCCCAGTACTGTGTTGCTCTAACCATTAATTGAGCTGAGGGCCTTTGCTGATTTGTGGGAATATCTCTCACTTTACTGAAATCTTAATTTAGATCTAAAAAAGGAAATCTCTGGGTTCACATGCTGTTGACTACTGGTACTACCAGGCTAGAGTGGATGGTAAATGAAAAACAAGCTTGAGCTGTCTGCCTAACACTCTGCGTTGGCTTCATTTAAAGGTTATCAGAGACCTGGTGGTCCGTGTGATGATGAGCAATCTTGTTCTCTACCATCTTCCATTAGGTTCAGGTAAATAGAAAATGGAACTATGAAATGCCCTTTCTTCCAACTTCTGATTCTTTATTGATTGTCCGTTACTTGTTATCTTCGAGCTCCTCCCACTTTACAGTGTAACCTCCTTTTCCCCTAATAGTGATTGATTGACCACCAAGGATTAGGGACTGTATGAAAGTTATTGTTGTGGGGAAAGGAGCTGAATTGTCAAATTAAATTTCACTTTATAAAAAAGCATGGTGTAATTAATGTTTTACTTGGACCCTCCCCTTCACTGCAAAACACTCTTCCCCCAAATACCTCAAATTAATATATGGCAAACATAACACAATGGTTAAAATACAGCCACTCTGTATTTTTGAATAACAAGCTGCTAAATAAACTTCATACATATTGCTACAAAGTGAGTGAATCATGAACAGGCATCGAGGGCTCCAGCACTACAGCATTTTCACCCCGCTCTATATCCTCTGCATATGGCGAAATGCACCTCCATGGGGCACATTAAAACCATCTTTTTCATGTAACTCGGAGTCATATCTCTTTTAATTAATCTAGAAGTTGGACCATCATCCCTTTAGCAAAAATCTCCTTTTCCTGACCACCCTCTTTCCCAAGTAATTCATTTGCTTACAGTCTCTTAACTCACACATACGCCACACAGCAGGTCTTAATTGCATTATGTGTAATAGAGTCACCCAAGCCACATAAGTGTTGTTTGTAGCTTGGTAATGTTGATTAGTCAGGTAAGAAACTTGTGCAACCATGGTTGGACACAAATATTTAAACATTTCTAAGTGATATTGTGGGTGTTTTTGTTGCTCCTGTGAAGATTCAAATCAGCCAGGGAAGCAATTTATTCAAGGATAAACCTGGACCAAAGGCTTACACATACACACAGTAGAAAACAGACAGAAATAAGAGGACGAAGAGAGGCTACTTGAAGCTTTATTGCAATTCCTGATCAAACAAAAGAAATGCACAGCAAGAGAGGGAGGGACAGAGTAACAGCATGTGTTTGCATGCACATGTCATTAAGAGTTGAACTTACTGAGTCTGGGTCGCTGATGGACACTTGCTCTGAAAAGCGCACTTTAGGCGGGTTGGTTCGCAGGCGGGCCTTTTTGGCTGCACTTATGAAGGCAGACTTAGGTGACTGAGGATGAGAAGAGAGAGAGAGAGGAACTCTTGAATCAGCTTGAAAGAAGAGACGTAAATGAGAGAAAAGCCCCTGTGACTGCTAGTGCTAAAGAGACGTGTGTTGGAGAGCCGGCTAATGCTGCTGCAATGCGACAGCTGCAAACCTGCTGTCAACTTAAAACTCACCTGCTGAAAGTTTAAATATTTTTAAATTGTTGTGCTTGTTGGTTTGAGCACAATAAATAATGTTAGCTACTTAAAGCCAACACAGGCAAATCCTTGCAGAACTGCTGCATAACTCATACGACTATAGGACTCCAAGGCCCAAATTATGAAATTGAAAAATTATATTAGAGTAAATGTTTTTGTATCATATCAGTATTTCATCTTATAAAAATATACAGTTCAGTTAGTCAGCTAAATAAATGGTATATTTATATTCCCTCCACATGGATAGATGCACACACAAAATGTATTTAATAAAGTCTCATGGAGATGTTTATATTCCTACATAGAACTGCTCTGAAAGGGCTTACCAGAAAAAGAAATTACTCTAATGTGTAGGCATGGCCATGAATACTAATTTATGTCAGCATTGCATTAGTGTGCACTTCTGGGACAGAATACTGTGCAGTGTTTCTGTATGATTCAGAGTGACAGGAAAAGCGTTAAGACTGCTGAAGAGTAAGAGAAATCCTGAGGGAGAGAGAAACATGAAAGAGAGTGAGTGTCCCATTATACTACCTGATGGGGCTGCAGCACAGTGAGAACTATAGAGTCTTTGCAGCGTCTATGGAAAGACAACAGAGAGTGGAGTGGGTTAGATAACGCCACGGACAGCATGGTATTTGGAGCGCTTCTCCGGGTTTATATCTGCCATTTCCTCGCTGTCCTTGAGCTGCAAAAGGACTGACTCATCCACAGGTTTGTGTTGATGTAACACATCACCAGCAATAAGAAACAGCTTGTTCCTTTTATTCCCCCCTTTTTACCCATGTGCTCTTTACTTCCACTTGCCCGTGTTGCTGGTTCCCTGGCCCATACCCTCCCCCTCCCCTCCCTCCCTCCTGGGACAGTAAAGGATGTTACCTTACAAGGTCTATGACTCTCTCTCGGGGCGCGTCGCTCACCGTCTCCTCGTTTATGGCCAAGATCTGGTCTCCAGGGAGAAGCTTGCCAAAGGAGGGACCGTCTGCAGATAAGACGGGACACAGCCACCAGCATACAAAGTCATATACATGCAGTCCAAAGTAAAGTTTAATTTGACTCACCACTTAAAGTGCCATCACTCTCCCTGTATGCTATATCTCAGTGGTTTTCCAAAGTTTGAGACTGTGGGCCTCCCCTTAGACAAAACTTAGAAAAGAGTGCCCCTTCACAGCCCCCTAGTTTACTTTTATAGTTTCACTCAAGTCCTGGATGCTTATAGGACCACGGTTATGAAATTTGATCCCACTGACACTCAACAATTGAGCCAAGACAGCCTAACATCGCTGTCTGACATGCCTTCAGACTACACCAAATACTTTAAAAAAGGTCTGTCCTAAGGCATTTATTAGTTTTTGACTCAGAGATAGAAGAAAAAACAGTACAATTCTGTAAAAAATGTTTTATCTATGAACTATCTATTTAACCAAATCACCCATGTTTAGCCTATGTGATCTCCTTTTGATAACTAATGTAATAACTAACTAACATTTTTAAACTTCCATTCACTTAGCCTGCTCTGAAACAGTTTGGACCCCCCCTGGGGAGCTCTGTCACCCTTTCTCACATGCGCACACACACACACACACACACACACACACACACACACACACACACACACACACTAACCAGCAGAGACGGAGCGTACAATGACAGGCCTCTGACTGCCTGCAATGAAGCCGAAGCCTTGAGTAGGGTGACGCTGGATGGTGACCTGTCGAGCTGAGGCAGGACTTAGGGTACCACTGTCCATACCATCCTGGCTCTCCTCTAACATTGCAGAACTGTACACACACACACACACACACACACACACACACACACACACACATTCATATATAAAAAGGGATATATCCACATACATTTTTGAAATGAGGAATATTCAGGGTCATGGTTGTATGTAGCATCTTGTACCTGTCACATGCGTTCGTGTGTCCATCCTGGACCTTGGCCATCCCCTGAGAGGAGGGAGCAGCATGGGACAAGGTCGCACTGCAAAGGCCGCTCTCTGTTTCGCAATCATTCACCTGCGCAAGAGAAAGGTTGAGACAAGCAAAGAAATAAAATACCCTGCTATCTCCACAGTAAAAATACTTTTTTGTAAGTTTTTGATTGAAACCACAGCTTTTCTGAGCACATCTTATTATGCTGCTACACAGAAAAATAAAATTATAAATGTGAAGTTGAAAAATGTAATATTCAAAATTGAAAGTCAACAAGTTAAATTTGGCTCCTCACAAATTTTTCACAATATATATATTGAAAAATCCAGTATGGAGGTAAAAATGTAGGCATTTTTGTTGCTAAAAGCATCTGACATTTGAGGCCTGCCTTTAGAGAACCTGCAATTATCTAGGACCCATAATATAATGCTCATAGAGTATGTAACACTTTAAGGTTTCTGAATCTGCCAGTCTCTCCCAGTGTGGACCAAGCTACTGCTGTGAACCACACATGCTCTTTTGCAGATGCCTGCGCGGGAGGCAGTGAAAGCAAGATTACTGAAAGACTGTGTGTGAGTGTGTATGTGGCACGTGGGTTTCTGTGTTTGTGGCAGAAAAATGAGAGAAAAAAAGGGTGGAAATGAATGTGTGAGGGAAAGAGAGACAGATATTTATGCTCGTATCTGTGATCTAGGACTCTGATGATTGCTGACTAAAGATGAGACAATGATGTTAATGGTGCAGATGGGCTAAAACAGGGACAGATGAAGAGCATGACAGCACTGTTCGGGATTATTATGCAGGGTTACACTGTTGAGAGCAAATACCTTTCTGAGTGCCACAGGCAGAGAACAAACTGTCAGTAACAGGAGGCTGAGTCGCATTAGTCAATAGTTCAGATTCATATTCTTGTCACTTGTTGTTTCTGATAACAGTGGCTTATGGGGGAGCATGGCTCATTTACAATTCCAGTGATGCATTACTGATCTCTACCTTGTGTCATGGTATCAGATGAGGGTTGATGTATCGTAGATAGGCTTCATATTGAGCTCAGTCCATGACTAAAAATCCATTACACAACGTGTGCTTTGAATTTCAATTATACTAATCATTTAAAAAGATTAGATTTGAATAAAAATTTCTGTATTCAATATTCAGCTGACTTACAAAGGATCATCTGTCTGTATCAAAGGTGCACAACAGTGACAAACGATGCTACACCAGCTGGTTCTGCCGCTAAAAAGGATTACATGTTTTTGATAGAGAATGATTATTTTCTCCTTTGATTCTCCCCATGGATTGTGACTTCTCTCCCCATTTTATTCTCCTTCTTTCTGTCCCTCTAATGACTTTCTCTTTCCCCCACCTGTCTCCCTCTCCAGTTGCTGTAAGGGACACCCGTTCTGTTGGACCTTTAAGGAGATGCCAGTGACTGGGCATTCATCAGGTGTGTGTGTGTGATTGGTGTGTGTCATTATGAATGTCAGTTACTCCTCAGCACCTCTTCTCCAGTGCAGAAGAGCCAAGATTTGTGACCTCAACAAGGAGACGATATAAATATCCTTGTTGTGTGATCTAGCCTGCACTTCAACCTTGTCCATTATTCACACAGCATTTGTTGTAGTCTGATAGTCCCTGAATCTTTTGTACATATCAGAATCAAATAGGAAAACTGAAATACAGCTTGAAATACAAATTGTGCAGTGCCACCAACGCCATTGTATACAAGCATATATAACTGTTATCGAATCAGAAACTGAGGAATATGTCCTCCTCGGTCTGTCTTTGTCCTGTGGCTTTGTGAATTGCACATAATTTACAGCTTTAAATTGTTCACTTAATTTAGAGATGAGTTATTGGCATTCAAAATAAGTGGTGAGGAAGAACTGAACAGAAGGGAAAGCGATGAAGGTAGCCGGGGGACACTGAAGCTCACACTTTTGCAAAGATAAACAGCCATTCAGCAGAGGGGCCGACCTTTTACTGAGAGAGGACGCCGAGGAATTCTGTCAAGAAATGATCCCCAAGGGCATCGGCATGCCTGCCCGTTGCTATGACTACGGCTCTCAGTTGCTTGTTGAAGCTCGTGTGGACGGAGGGATAGTGGGTGGATGAGAATAGTGATGTGGCCAGACGCTCTCCGATCACCCCGCAGCCACTGTGGCCAGATGCCAACATTTCCTCAGGCAGTAGAGGTCAGGGAATCACATACCTGCTCTGCTCCAGTGTCCCAGTCTGCAGAGCCTCACCAGGCCTCGGGGTCTGGGAGGAATGACCTTTTACTTATTATCCTCCCAGGCCTGCATTCTAACAGGATTATCATTAACCTGGAGGGACACTGCATTTCATACAGCAGCATTGCTGAATAGCTTCATTTCTAGTGTGGTCAGATGTTCAACAGGTTTGATTTTGTGACCAACTTTTATTTATTCCACAAGATAAAGCAATGCAACAGAAAGCATACACTGCAACTTTAATTGCTCTTTATCCCTGACCTAACCCCTTCCCTGTGGGTCTTTCTCTAAATTACATTACACATGCGAAAACAATGCGTTGCAGAGCAAATAAGGAAACAAATAAAATAAAATAAACATTGATGTCATTGTTCTAGCTGCATTAAGTGGCTCCTTCCCAGCCCCGAGCATAATCTGTCCTGCCTCATTCATCCTAGCAACAGAGAACTCCATAGCTGAAAACTCTATTAAAGAGTGATTCCACTGATGAATAGGAAAGTGCAGTGATTGCCACCTGACCGCCAGCATCTTTTTAGCAACATGGTGATAGCCAAATGGTTAAAGTCAGATGTGTGGACACGAGTCACATGACTTGGACTTGAGTCACAGATTTAATGACTTTAGACTCAACTTGACAAAATCAAAACAGGCTTGAAGTCACAATGAAACATGACTTCACTTGATCTTGATCCTTTTGACTTGAAAATACTTGATACCTTCCCCAAAGTCCAAAGAAACAAAATATGTTATTAAGTAATATTATGAAGTGTTGTTAGTAAAAAGTGTGCCACAAATCAATTAATTTCCCTTAATTCTCTGAATCAACCAATGTTAAAGCTATTCATTCCCAGCAAGTCAACACTAGTTCCCAAGATCCACTGTGACACAATCCAATCAAGTTGCTGGAGAGAACTATGAAGAAGTAAACTTATGTCATTGAGCGCCAGTTGGAAAAAATAACACCAATTAGTTTCACCTGTGTCTAATTATCCTTCCCCTCACCAGTGTATTCGTTGCTTCAGTGCCAATACATCTTTATGTGAAGTCTAACTGGACAGCTTTCTAGTGTGTTTCCCTGTGTTCTTTGGACTCACTACCCTGGACATTTTGCTTCATGTTTTGGATTTTGGATTAATTGACTGCCCCTTTTAGATTAATCGTTAGACTGCTTTTGCTAGTTTTGACCCTTGCCTGCCTCAACAATCCTGTAAGCCTTGTATTCTTTCACTTTTGTTATTATGAAATCATCTGGGCTGCACCAGCTCTGCCTCTGTCTTTGGGTCCAATTCTCTTGTGTTCCCTGTTACCCTGCTACAGTTGTGACAATTACATTTGGTGAAGAGTGCATTGTGACTTGTTCAGGACTCGAAACTCAAAAGTTTACAACTTGGGAACTGACTCTAGGACTTGTCTGTCTTGACTTGCAAAGACTTGAGACTTACTTGTGACTTGCAAAACAATGACAGTGTTTCAGATAAAATTTTTATTTGTTCCCAGAAACTTTGAACTGATGGCCAATCCTACTTGACGTAAAAACATTTCCCCATTTGGTTAAAATCACACAGGGTACAGTTTGGAGAAGTACAGTATATTCATCATAGAGCACCGCTTTGGTGTCAAATAAGTTTGATTTATGAAGTTCAGGTTTGTTAGTTTATGATTCTGGATTTTGTGAAGAATGAGAGACATTTCTCAAAGTCTGGCCAAGATGATTCAGAGATAACATTTTTATTATCACTAAGGGAGTCTATATATTATAACAAAGTGTTATAAATTAAAGAGACATGTCTATTAGTTCATCCTGATAGTTTGTTAAACCAGTATTAATCATAATGTCACATAAGTTCTGAAAAATAAAATATTATCCTCCAGGTTTTAATAAGGTATTATAAAATATTGATGTATTTGGTTCTGTTGGAGGCTACAGTTTGTGGTTATGTTGAACTGAATTGGATTATTGCATTATTACTAATATATTGTACATGTATAACACGACCATAATTCATAAAAAGTTGAAAAGAAATAAAAAAAGGTTGCTATAAATATGCAGCATTAGTATAAATGTCCATTGCAGCAACGTGTTCTTGCTATTTAAGACAAAACCAGATAAGACAGGAATAAAAGAATGACATGCACTTATAGGTTATAATTCAATCAGATTTGTTTTATGAATAAAAACAGCTTTTACTGTCTGGCCTTAGCAAATACCTGGTACATATCAGACATGCCCTGGGGGACAGAATCATTTCATGTTTTATAAACCAATAAAACAGTCTTAAATTCAATTCCAGTTGTGACAGGCACGTTCTAATGTGCTCTCTGGTCCTGGTCAAAACACCTGCAGCTAAATTTTATGTATTATTGCTGACCAATGCCTATATCTTGCTTAGATCAGGAAGGAGGGCATTGCATTAGAACAGGCATATAGTCACATTAAATTTTCTTTAAATAGAAAAGAAAAACATAAATAATGGCCCAATGTTCTTTGTTACATATCATTACGTAAGTGCAGACAATTCAGAAATGTGTCTGTGGGCTTGAAATGCATTTTTGAGAAAAGAGTAACAGACCTTAGCTGCTGTAGCGACTGTGGAAACTGGATGGACTCTGCAGGAAATTTGCCGTGAAAGAAGGAAAATTAGTTTAGCAAAGATGAAGGACATCTTAGCCATTGTGAATACAAATACTAAAGGCTGAAAGCTGCAGTCCTGTTCAGGAAAATTAGACATACCACTGAGAACCCTTGAGGAGGGTAAATAAGTTGCCTCTCCTTACCTTTTGTGACAGAATACACGTACGGTCCCTTCTTCCAGCCAGCACAGTTGCTCAGTTTACCCAGCTCCTTTTTTT